CATATCAGTGGCTGTAAAGCACCTTCATCCGTCGTCAGCACATAAACCAGGTTCTATTTACTTGCAAGACATCCGACTTAATAAGCATGATAAAAGGTAGAGGAGACACAATATTAAGTTCATTAAGTTAATTATTTTCGATAATGAGCAGAAAGCGGAGAAAGAAAGAGGAACCAATTACTAATTAAGTCCCATCATCACATTAGAATAAATGAACATTATGCAGCTACATCGCTTTCATGTTGTTGCATATTTATTACGCTAAATTAATTTAATATCCCCCTTATAAATCATGCAAATTTATGAACTGAAGGTTTCATTTATTGCAGCATATTAAGTCATGTTCCATGTAGGAGGTGGCGTGGAAATGAGGCAATACCCAAGGTTAGCCAGCGTTATTTATGGTCTCCCTGTCAATTAATACTAAGCTGGCTTTTATTGCACTTAAATGTGCTATAGAGGAAGCTGAGGGTATTAACAAAGATCATCAGACAGGCAGACGCTACAGGCTACACATTGGGTGCGTTCCTCTGCCCTGGCATTGCTGACGCCTGCCAGATTTTACAACGCCAGGATAGGTATTTTATGTATCAACTAACCACATCACATGTTAATTAAAGCAATCTGTCAGTCGATGACACAGTCGATGACGTCGTGGCACACAACCATTGGTTGATGCATGCAACGTCTGAGCAGGGGTACGCGACCATAGTCTCCAACACACACAGATTACTCTCAAATGGACCAACAATGTCCAAGTCATTACAGTGTCCTCATCTGCAATATCTGCATTGGGTTGATAGGTTTGAATCAAACTGGCTTTTGGTTAGGTAGAAGGGCTTTAGACATAGGCTGCAATTCAAACTGTAAGAATTATTGTTATTTAAAAACGGTAATCAACATGTAATTGAACCATGACTGTGATACATTAGGCCCTACATTTAACTGAACCATGAACGTGATACATTATCTACAGACATAAAGTGAAAAAATGTGGACAGTATAAAATCACATTATAAGTGAGTTATGGTCCATTATAGGTAAGGTTATATCGTTTTGAGATAATCAAGAGATTTAAAATGATATTCGTGGCATAAATAAACATGTGGATAGTGACACAATATAGGAGAGTAATGTAACTCACAGGTCACAGTGTTTCCTGTGACCCATTCATGCGCTGAGGGGATTCACATATAAATAATGGATGCAAACAATCTATCAGCAGCTGTATCATCTGGGAGAGAAAACCCTGCCATGCTATTAGATGAGCTAATGTGGAATAAGAAGCACACAATGACTTACAGGGGATAGCTGCACAGGGTTAAACGCCGAGCAAATTAAATCCACAAACAATCTGTGTTCTTCCTGCTTGTGTCTAGAACTTTTAAACATGAAATGATTCTTTAAAACGCTCCTTTTAAATGACTGTCCTGTTGAGTGCGACCCCCGACACACCATTGGCATGGTGAACATGATTGCCGTGGTTCTCTGTGGAATATTCAAATGGTGCTTTATAAAGCCTGGAGTATGGGTCATAACACTGTGATTGTTCCTAACTACTGCAGGTGCTATGCACGGGAAGGGTCATATCTCAGTCGTTAACGAATCTCTGGCGCGGCCCTGTGCCATTAGAGTGATACGGACGGCACATTCCCTGCAATTTAGTACCAGTAATAGATGAGGGTCACGCCAGGTCACTTTCAATTTCCACTCCGAGAGGAGGAAAATGGAAACAACTCATTTGCACAAATTTGAATAATTCGCTCACTCAGAAAAGAAGAAAAAATGAAGAAAATATGATGATGAGTGAGAAAGAGAGGATAAAGAAAGAACAAAGAGGGGAAAGGAGGAGGACACTGTTGCACCTTGCACAATAATGATCCACAGCACCTTGGATCAGCTTGCATAAAGGCTAATGATGAATATGACAGAGGATATGAATCCAGATGCAGGAATAAAGCAGCCTTTTCTCTCTGCAGTCTCACATGGGAGTCTCCGTAGTGAGCTTTTAAACTTATCATAAATGTATTAAGATTGCACCGGGCCATGAAACAGCTGTAGACAATTAATCTTCTGCAAATCTTATCTGAGGAATTGGTTTCTGTAAAGTAACATCTGCTGCTAGAGGTGATTATTCATGGGCATCGCACACCCACCGCACTTTTATGCATAGGGCACGATCATTGCCAATGAAGTAAAAATTTATAGTTTTCCCTGTTCAGTAAAAATAACATTCAGCAGCATTAAAACGTCATCCATCAACATTGTCCTGGGGCCCCTGGCCATCCCAGGCAGAGAAATTAAGAAGTATTCATTTCGCATAGAAGTTGTAAAGTGTGCTGCTCCTCTGAACTGATATTTGCAGCACTGCTTTAAAGAATAAAATTGCAGCAGTGGAGTTGTGGATTATGGTGCTGGAGTAAAAAGAGAGCTGAATTCCCCAAAACCCTGAGAGACCTTCATGAGAGATTCTTTATGAACATAAGAGCCATGTTAGGTCACATTCTTTAAGTCTACAGTTTTACTATATGCTCAATTAAATATTTATTTTCTGTGACTATAATAATTGTTTAGAGCAGGGGAAAATGTAATTCACACAATTGCTGGGATGGAAAGGATTACAATTGTAGTTTGGGGGGACTAGCCCTATACAGATTTTTTGTTATTGTTCATTTGCTGTCTTTCCTACTGTAGCTATGCAGCTATGTGCAATTCCGCTATCTGTTATTACATTGTGTTTATTTGTAAAGGAATAACTAAGAGTCATGCCATTTAAGTTGCATTACTGCATGTGTAGAGATCCCAAAGCACCATCCTTATTTTCTCCCTATTAATTCCATCCTCATTGTGTCTTCTTCATTTCCCAACTGTCGCCATCTCACAGATGGCAATATTATTTACAATATAGGCTGTCGCCTGGAGCCAAGCCAAATGCAATCTTAATAGGAATTTGATCATCTGTAACTTTGGCTGCGTGTCAATTAGTTTGTTTTTTAACAAAGCAAAGCAAACAATATGACCGCCCTCAATTCATTTGACTAGTTTTGACTTTTTGGGGAAGACAAAGGGAAAGGTAGAGACATCTGTGAAAATGTTGTGCAAGAGGAAGTTACACACACAAATACAAAATGTCCAGAGGAAGTGGGAATTGCATAAATCAAGTGTATATGAATACAGTACATGCTACTTGTCCATCTGAATTAAATGTAGTTTAGGATCAGATTCAGAATAAGGTCAAAATCTACTTCTGAATACTGGTCTCCCACAGGCCATGACGCTTGTAGGTACACAAAGGCTCTGTACGTCCATGTATTCCATAGCACAGTCGTTCATCAAAGGCACTCAATTATTCCCTGCAAATCAAAGCCCTCTCGCTCTACTCCATGCCTGCAATGGAAAAGCCATCTGAGAAGTGTGAAGAGTTCCGTCAGACTGAGCTACCTGCCTGGTCGTCGGTCCACATTACAGCTCTGTGGAGGAGATGATGTTTAAACCTGAACATGTATTGTTCAATATGACATGCTCAATTTATCATTAGTTCTGAAAGAGAGAATGGATGAGTACCCTTTCAATTTAGTTCCGTTGCTTTCTTCATTCATCATATCCTCCCTCATCATCCATCATCACCCACCCCTTTGATTTGTACAAAAACACACTTTCATAAGTTTAATGCAATTAATCATCAAGGCTAAGATAATTTTTATATTAACAGACCAAGACATTTATATGATTATTTATTTGATGAACTTGCACCACAGTGAGTTTCATTGAATCCCATTCTTAGATTAGATCATCTCCATTGCTCAGTGAGCATGAAAGTGAGGGGTGTTGAATCTGTTTCTTTGGTATCTTTTTGTTATAGGTTTATGTACATTTCCAGAGAGCGGTCTCAGTCTGCCTTCAGCACCCACTGGCCATGCCTTTTATCCTCTTATAACAAGTCCTAAGAAATTGAAAAAGTTGCTGCAATAGATAGGAGGTGACCTGGAAACAAAAGCAATCAAAGGGAGGGGAGACGCAGGGAGCCACTGCCAGCCTCCACCACACTCCACGTTCAAGGTGAAATTCTGCTACTCTGTCAATAAAATAAGAAATACCTTTTGAGGCACAGGGCCGAGGGCAAAGTGTAGTCTGCAATTACACACCTTCATGTACCTCACCAAAGGACATTTTTCATGTAGCTCACCATTTTTAGTTTCCCTCCCAACACAAGGCATTTTCTATTTTGTAAGAAAATAGAGAAAAAGGTCTGTGGACTCTCTAATCTGTGTTGTAGGTTGTGATGAAAAATGAGTGGGCACACCAAAACTTGTCTTCACTGTTAAATCTCTTTAAACTTTCTATTCGTGGTTATGATATTGTTATGACTAGATATTTTCCTTATACAATATGGATATACTACTGTACAAGTTATCTTACACAAAATAAAAGTCATTTTTGCCACCAATAGATAATAGAAATAATGGAGGGAAAAGTAGAGAACATTCCTTCAAGTCAACCATACAATCTAGTTGAAAATATTCCTTTCAGCATTTGATGATAACTAGATAAGAACATAATTATTTCTCAAACTAAATTATCTTGAATTTAACCACAAATCAATCAGCTCTCCACTTGAAGAACTTCAGACTCCATTGTAGCTCAATCAAAAAAAATCTATGTGGACCAATTATAGCCTGTTTCATTAGTGTATGCTAATCAGGCAGGATCTTGAAAGAGTCGGTCTTATATTTCCCCCTCCTGGCCACCAAGTCATTGTATAGGGGAAATGAACACACACACACACACACACACTCACACACTAAAAACAGAAAATTGAAATCCTTGAAACTTTGCACAACATTGTTGGAGATTGTATTCTTTTCATACTTCATGTTTGTGCTGTTTGTTGAGAACCAGCATGGTGGTAATGCTGCGTGGCTGTCTATGGGAGGCTTGCTTTGACCTGCGTTAAGCCTGATTTGGTCCTGGCTATAGTATGACATGTCATAGCATCACGCTCACCCTGTGACTGGAGCTACAGTCCAGTCTGGGGCCATGCCTGGGAACAGCAGACACACTGCTCACAGAATTGAAGCATCGCACACTTGTCTCATTGTATTATTTATCTGACAAACAGACAGACATCCTTCATCCCGTTCCAATTGTAGCTCTTTTTTATAGTCAGGCATTCGCTGGAGCCGTGAACAAAAATATCTAAAACAGTGATTTTTCACCAAAACATATAACTAAGCAATAAGGCCCGAGGAGGTGTGGTAGATGGCCAATATAACACGGCTAAGGGCTGTTCTTAAGCACGACGCAATGCGGAGCGCCTAGATACAGCCCTTAGTCGTGGTATATTGGCCACATACCACAAACCCCAGAGGTGCCTTATTACTATTATAAACTGGTTGCTAAAAGAATTAGAGCAGTACAAATAAATGTTTTGTCATACCCGTGGTATACAATATACCACGGCTTTCAGCCAAATCAACATTCAGGGCTCAAACCACCCAGTTGATAATATTTGATAACTATCAGTCTGATTAATTATGAGATTAAATAAAGCAGGTACTGAATCAATCGTTATTTAGTTTTCCTTTCTTATGAAGTAAAATGATTAACTAAGCGCACAATAAATTGGCTTGTTGCTGAATAATTATAGAACTCAGAAGAGAGCCACAGTGTCATTGGATGAGATGTAATGCAGTGGTAGCTAGCTCAGCCTCTCCCTGACTGATCTCTCTCAGTCAGAAGCACACAGTCGGACGAAGCGGGATTGAAGCTACGGATGACTGCTGGAGGTAGGACAGACAGCAGAGGTTAGCTAATCTCACATCTCACCTCTCACCCCCCCCCCCCCCCCCCCCCAGCTCATCAGGACACTCTGTCCAACCATGTACCTGCCTGTTGTCTTTTGACTAAGCCCAAAATGCACAAAGGGGGAGCTTGTGATGAAATTGATGCAATAACATTAGCAGCAGAGACAAAAAAAAACTGTTTTTATTGAGGTGCATCATGGGGCTGTAAAATGAATAGTCTTTCCTGACATTCTTCTCAATGTCTCTATATTGATTTCTGTCTGTGTACATTGTACCTCAACATCACATACATTAGCGTAGGAGTTCCACTCGAAGCACAGAAGGGATGGCAGAACAATGTTTTTAAAGACACTATGCTCTAATTAATGGCAGGTCTTAGACAGAGCCAAAGTCATTTACCCTCCTGACTGGTCAAGATGCTCAGTTCCAGGCAAACTGTGATTTAAAATGATGTCCTCCATGAACTACATTCTCCGGGAAAAATGATTCAATTTGGCAATTTATTCATATTTACTGAGTGTACCTGCATTACATTTGTATAGATCACTTCAGAGTAAAAGTGAAATGGAGAAAATCGAATCAACATATTGAGACATACTGGGCAGCTGTATGGAGTCTCCAGTCATACAGGCCCTGCAGGGGTCACTCCCATGCCTTTTATGATGTCCCTTTGAAATCTATCTGAATCACATTAAATTGGATATAAAGATGTGCAGACACATACATCACAGTAAATGGTGTGGTGGAGCATCGCTCGCCAAGAGTCCCACCTCAACAATCGGGTTATAAAATCGGCTTTAGATCCGATTAATAATTCACAATCCTGTTAGAAGAGAACAAACATTTCTGTTCAAGCAATTTAAGTTGCGGGATTGTTATTATAGCCGGGTGCTTGAGCCGGGCTGGGAGATGGTCTCGCTGTGGATCTGCGACCGAGGAGAGGCTGTGAAATTTAAGCTGGCTCCAGCTCACTGTGTGCGGAAGAATAACTCAATGCTATTTCACAGTCTCTGCTTTCTTTATTAAAGCACCGTCACAGTAAACATGTCTTACCCACGCTTATCTCTGCAGCCTTTTTATTTGGGATCAAGAGTCCGTCCTTGTCCCAATAGGATGACCCTGGTTAGATGATAGTTGTTATATGTATCAGGATATTAGTAAAATAAGCCTGTAATATTACCACGCAGTTAACGATCATTCCCATCTTCCTTTCACAAAGTAACAGAACAGGAATGTCGTATTTTTACACACCAAGACCTCAGCTTATTTAGTAATCATTGTCATTAATATGACAATTTTACAACATTTGTATAAAATATAAATGAAATGAAATATTTGTTTCTGGCTATTTGTGTTTTGTAAGAGTTTTTGGAGTGTAAATCTAAAACCAAAGCTTTATGGTACACCAAATACAGTTTTAATCAGACTTGATCTAACATTATTCCCACACCCCATACTATTCAACTTAATAGCAGCAGCATTTTTAACACATTTTATTAAAACTTTGGATTGTAAATGAGCTGTTGATATTTAATAAAGGTAGTGAGATATTTTTGTGTGAGTGGATCCTTCCGATCATGGACAGAGTAAGAGTTGGTGACGTAATTGTTATTTGTTTGCAAACCCTGACTCCTAGTGTTTCATATACGACACTACAAGCAACATTTTACAACTAGCTCCAGACAGACAACCTCTAACTAGCCTCTATAGGCGTTCCATTACACCTATTCATCTAATCCTTTCAGATCTACATAAATGCTTGAGGGTTAGGCCTGGGGAAGTGGTTTTCAGGACTAGATGACAAAATGTAGATTTCATAACACTTAAGATTTTAAGCAACAATAAACCCACAGTCTTAGAATAAATAAATCAGACTTTGATCAAAGCACATCCAAACATTAATGTATATATTGTTTATAGGGGGTTAGGGGTTGTATTGTAGGCAGCATAATGTAACATAAGAGGGAAAAACTGTACAAAGTAAAAGTAATACTAATACTAGTACAAACTCTGGGTCAATGGAAACACATTCTTAGATTATGGTGAGTTTAGTTAGAGTGCCATCAGAAAACGTAGCATTACTGTAACATTATCAGAGATCATTTTATACCATACAGACTAGTACTACTTGCAGTAAAGTTTGAAATGTTTATGTCTCTATAAAATATGTCATTGCAGTCTTTAAAATAAGGCATTTCATGCATTAAAAGCTGATGTATGTTGTGTATCAGATTCAGATATCAATCTATGCTATGTTCACAACACAATTATGATGAATATAACAAATGCCATTGATTTGGAAAAAATCCAGTCCATATGCATTGTAGTATGTAAAATACTTTGTCCAGTGTTAATTCCAATGGCATTGTCTCCTAGTGCTCTCTGTGTGAGGCTCTTATGAGTTTCTACCTTTCTTTCCCACAACCATACTGCTGTACATCTTCTGTTGCTGCTCTTTAAATTCTTCTTTCACCTTGGCTCTCTTCAAACTCCCATCCCTGCAGAGAGAGAGACATAGAGGAGACTGCAGATCACCAAACAGTGCTGACAATGACCTACAACCCATTATTGTGGAATAGTATGGTTCACAACACATTTTCTTCTGATTCCAGAACTCTATTACGATAGTATGGCATGTTTTAAAAAGGATCTTTAGTGAGATTCAAGCAAGTTTACTGAACGTTTCCTTACCACGACATGTCCAATAGCCCTCCCTGATGTGCGATAGCAGACTTCACTCTGTTGGCAAACTGGGCAGCATCTTCCTTTTCCTATCCAAAGTGGCAATGAAGAGGGATATGATTAGTAAACATATAGAGAGGTCTTCAAGGGGTCTTATGTATGTCTATGGCCATGGGGGTAGGAGACGTGTGCACTTTATAAGGGTTTGTGAAAAAAACACTACATAAGGTCCAACCTGTTGGTCATGGGAGGAAGTAGCAGTAATAAAGCATACACAGTGTGACAACCTACCCGTCTGGTCATGGGGGGCAGGTACCACACGTTGACCACGATGGCCCAGCTGGTCATCATTCTCAGCAGGTAGTTCACCATGTTGTACTTGGCACTGTTCCAGAAGGCATCACCAAAACGAGGGTCATACTAACAGGGAAGGACAGAAAGGAGGAGATCTTAACTAATATGAATCAAAAGGCGGTGATATCAAACAATGGCTGACAAAGTCAACACGTAACAAGGCCAATATGGTGACAACTTTATGATGTCTTCATATAATAAGTGTTCGGTGACATGCTGCTTGATGGAGGAGCAGGGGTTAGAGAACACAAGGGGCTTTCAGACATTCAGATTGCAGCCAGTACCTTGATTGCGACTGGGTATATCGTCCCTCCAATCTCAAAGCTTCCCTTCTTGAACATCATGACCGATGTGTTGTTGATGCAGGTTCCTGTAAGAGGGGATAGAAAGGTCATGAGACCACCACAACCACAGCTTCCAGCAGTGTTAGGCTCTATTTCAATTCAACTCAGTCAATTCAGGAAGTAAACTGAAATCCCTCATCGAAAAGTAATGAGGAAAATTGGAATTGAGTTTACTTCATGCATTGACTGAATTGAAATGGAATTGACCTCAATCACAACTTCCATCCAGACTGCAGCAGAAAATGGACCAGACAGTCAAAGTATAGAGACTTACCCTCTGGGAAGATCAAGATGGGTAGATTGGTTTTAGCTGCAACATGAGCCCTCAATCTGGGAGAGGATGGATGGGGGCAGATCAATAACCAGGACAACACTAATCATGATGAAAATAATATATAGCAGATAGGATGATTGAGTGGCTGTAATGGCAATGTACTGTATATCATCATACAATCAATATATGCACCATCAACATTGGCATGTGATTCATTTACTTTTACATTTTAGTCTTTTAGCAGACGCTCTTATCCAGAGCGATTTACACTCTTTTTCATACTGGTCCCCCGTGGGAAATGAACCCACAACCCTGGCGTTGCAAACGCCATGCTCTACCAACTGAGCTACACGGGACTACTTTTCAGAAGACAACTGAGTAAATGTATAGATGAAAAATACACTAAATGCATCTCCTGCTGTCTTTTCCCATTTACTTGCCGTCTCACCTACTGGTAACAGCATTTCGGTCTCTCATCTCCGACCTCTCGAACCAAACGTGGGGGCAGGACCTCACCATTGACCTCTGGATGACCCCCATCAGCCCACCGTGACTTTGACCCACCTGAGAATAATACCAGACACAGAGAGCATGACAACTCTAGCCTGCTAACAACCAAAAGTGATGGATGAGATATCAAATATCAGTGATATGTTAACCAATGTTTATGTTACCCACCATAGCGTAGCATCCATCATTGGCCAAAATGACAATGTCAATAGGCGAGGTGTGGTTTGCTACGCATATTCCTCCTTTTTGTGGTTTATTCTCTCTGTAAAAAATAAGCATTTATTTCAATGACCTCATGACATTGAAAATGTTGATACTAACATGACTTCCTAAATGTATTTCTAAGTAGTTTGTCTGGATACTAACTTGTTGTGGTATTGAATGGTAGCAGAGAGACCTCTGGCACAGATCCTGTAGCACATCAGATGGACTAACTCACTGAGCCAGTTCTTCACTCTAGAACACAAGAGCAATGTAAGGTAATAGCCGGGGACATTCTATTTTCTCGAGCCATATACCAACTCTCAAGCAAGTTAGCTGGTTGAGAGATAGGAACATTCAAATCTTCCTATTACCACAATTTATGAAAGTTCTACATCATCAGTAGATGTAGACTACATCGTTATTACCTCTTGTTAGGTAGAAACCCCACCAAAGTTGTCCCAATCACCAGCCAGGTCAACCCAATGATTGCCAGGGTTATCCTGCAAGGAAGAAGGAATCACATGTTGAAAATGAGTAGCCTATATAAACGAAAACGTATACCATTCTACTATGGATCACATCAAATTGAGTACATGATCGGTTGACATAAACTTCATTGAACTGAACTGAAATGGCAGGACACTGGCAGGACTGGAGAAGAGGTCAAAAAGGGCAGGTCAGACCCACCTGAGAGGGAAAAGGACACAGTAACGTATGATCACGCCCAGGCCCCAGATGATGGTGAGTCGCAGGCTGATGAAGTGGAAGTTGTGGTTGGTGCGGGTCAAAAGGTTCCAGGAGACCAGCTCCTCAGAGGAGAAGCGCTGAGTCACCTGGTCGTCCACGATGCTCTCCAGGCCCTTTATGTAGAAGTAGAATGAGTCGCTCAGCGCAAACTCGCCTCTCGATATAGACTGGGTACGATACCGACGCAGCTCCCCCATCTCCTGTTCCATGGAGCCCCCCTCCCTCTGGATGAGTCCTGGCCAAAGAAGAGGAGACAACAGAGATTATTAACTGAGTGGTTTACAGTACGTTATACCTGTGGGTTTAGTCACTACCTAGCGATTTTGGACATAAAATAGAGAGGCGTAAGGAAGGGCAAGGATAGTAAGAGGAACTAAATGTACCTACTGATTAAAGTACATATCTATCTATGATATCCCAGTGTCACGCCCTGACTCAGGGGACTCTTATATGTTGAGTCAGGGTGTGTATATTCTATGTTGTGTATATTCTAGGTGTGTTATCTAGTATGTGTATTTCTATGTTGGCCGGTGTGGTTCCCAATCAGAGGCAGCTGTCGCTCGTTGTCTCTGATTGGGGATCATACTTAGGCAGCCTATTGGCACTAGGTAGTTGTGGGATCTTGTTCCGGTGTAGGCTTGTGTTTAGCCGTAGGACTTCACGTTTCGTTTGTTTGTTGTTTTGTCGTGTGTTTATTCGGTAAATAAACATGTATGCCTTTCACGCTGCGCCTTGGTCTGACCCGTCCTTAAACGAACGTGACACCCAGAGAGGGTAAAGCTGATGAGGAATGGAATGGAGGACTGTTGTGGCATAGCCGGTCAGTACTAGGCCTGTCAGTACCAGATACCACTGAGCACAGAGTTCCCATTCCTTTTCTTCATACTCAGCAGCACTGTGTTTTGCCCAGCTTTAGTAAAACATTTACCTTGTGCCATGATTATACAGTAATACAAGCTTAAGTATTATGTTCACAGACAATGGGTTATAGACGAAAGGAGCAAACATGGTGGATTTTGTAATCTTTGCTAAATGATTTGCTAAAACATCATGGTGGTGACTTGTCCTTCCTGTGTTTCATAAAATAAAATAAAAGCCTCTGTACTTTTTGAAGTTTCCTGTCACGTCTGATTTAGAATACCAATGTTTGTGACCAACAGATGATTGTGTGTTAATTCAACAACATTAGGATTCTAGATAAACAATTTATAGACACCACAAAAAGTCCTGTCACAAAACCGATCTATTGGAATCTTCAATGCAGATGTAAAATAGCATGTGATATACATGTCCAATAAGTATAAGTACTTAACACAATATAGGGCAAATGGTATCATAAAGTTTGCAGAGGATGGTGAAGTAACGTCTTTCAAACATTGTACAGTATATTTCCAGAAAGACCAGATGAAGGGGGCACCCAGTATTTCACAGCATATGGGTCAAAGGTTAGACTACACACAGAGAGTTAGTTTTCTGCCTGTTATGTAATCCTCTATTGCATCATCAGAGTGGGACAGGGCTGCTCCAATCTGCACCCACACATCAGCCACAGGTGCTGAGCTGACCAATCACAAGCCCCCACACTGACACACAGTCACATATGCAGGGTATACTCCTTCCAGACCGAGCTGAATTCAATCCCTCATACTACAGAACACTATGTTCTAAGAGCAGAACTAGGGTTGCAAAGCTACCGGTAATTTACGAAAGTTGCCAGAATCTTGGGTAATTTGGGTAATTAACAGAAAATCTATGTCAATCTATTGTAACTTTGGTAATTTATACTTGAATAACTTTTAAAAAATGGATTCATAGTATAAATGTTTTATATCCATGTCCATATATGTCCATGAGTTTCTAGTAGATAGACCATTAGTTAAAGAGAAAATAGCCAAATTAATAAAAAAAGCATCTAATCAACAATATCATGCTGACAATATCATGCTGAAATCCTCGTACTAAACACCACTGGTATTCACTATGTTGATGGTTTATATTTAGGATAATGTTTTACAGGTTTGTCATTCAATTTTTTCATCTTATTGAATTATGTCATATATTTTACATGTGATAAGGCCACACAGAGGGCCAGAGGTAACTACAGTCACCTGTGAAAATCTGAAGTACCCAAAAGGGCCACTAGATGTCTTGTGATAGATTACATAAAATCCTTCAAAGATACCAAAATTCTGGTAGTTTACTGGTAAATTTCAAACGTTTCCAGTAATATACCCTCCCTTTGCAACCCTAAGCAGAACCAATAACTCCACATGCCTTTCGGTAAATCCATTTAAATTCAATCACTTTTTGACAGAATCCCTTTTGATTTAAACAAAACTTTCCATACATGTTTGCCCATGGAAGAAGTGGTCAGAAAGTCTTTTTGGACCTGAATGCCAACACATCCAGGAGATAAAAGGTTCTCAAAGTTGATCCATTTGCATACCCCTCTATACCAAGTCTTCATCACCAGAAAAGATAAACAGTTGAGTGATTTAATTGAAAAACTTACAAAACAGGGTTGTCAAACTATTTTATACATTTATAAACCTTTGTCAATTACCTAAAAACACGTAAAACTCCGATTTTTTTCATATTTGCATTTGTTGTAGCTTACAGTGCATTCGGAAAGTATTCAGACCCCTTGATTTTTCCACATTTTGTTACGTTACAGCCTTACTCTAAACTTGATTAAATAGTTTTTTCCCCTCATCAATCTACACACAATACCCCATAATGACAAATCAAAAACAGGTTTTTAGAAATTTGTGCAAACGTATAAAATATAAAAAACTTCAATATCACGTTTACATACAGTACCAGTCAAAAGTTTGGACACACCTACTCATTCAAGGGTTTTTCTTTATTTTTAGTATTTTATACATTGTAGAATAATAGTGAAGACATCAAAACTATGAAAAAACACATATGGAATCATGTAGTAACCAAAAAAGTGTTAAACAAATCAAAATATATTTTATATTTGACATTCTTCAAATAGCCACCCTTTGCCTTGATGACAGCTTTGCACACTGTTGTTATTCTCTCAAACAGCTTCATGAGGTAGTCACCTGGAAAGCATTTCAATGAACAGGTGTGCCTTCTTAAAAGTTAATTTGTGGAATTTATTTCCTTCTTAATGCGTTTGAGCCAATCAGTTGTGTTGTGACAAGGTAGGGGGGTATCAGAAGAAAGCCCTACTTGGTAAAATACCAACTCCATTTTATGGAAAGAACAGCTCAAATAAGCAAAGAGTAACGACAGTCCATCATTACTTTAAGACATGAAGGTCAGTCAATACGGAACTTTGAAAGTTTCTTCAAGTGCAGTCGCAAAAAACATCAAGCGCTATGATGAAACTGGCTCTCATGAGGACCACCACAGGAATGGAAAACCCAGAGTTACCTCTGCTGCAGAGGATAAGTTCATTAGAGTTACCAGCCTCAGAAATTGCAGCCCAAATAAATGCTTCACAGAGTTCAAGTCACAGACACATCTCAACATTCAGAGGGGACTGTGTGAATCAGTCCTTCATGGTTGAATTGTTGCAAAGAAACCACTACTAAAGGACACCAATAAGAAGAGGCCTGCTTAGGCGAAGAAACACGAGCAATGGACATTAGACCGGTGGAAATGTGTCCTTTGGTCTGGAGTCCAAATCGGAGATTTTTGGTTCCAACCGGCGTGTCTTTGTGAGACGTGGTGTGGGTGAACGGATGATCTCCGCATGTGTAGTTCCCACCGTAAAGCATGGAGGTGGTGGTGTTAGGGTGTGTGGGTACTTTGCTGGTTACACTGTCTGTGATTTATTTAGAATTCAAGGCACACTTAACCAGCATGGCTACCACAGCATTCTGCAGCGATACACAATCCCATCTGGTTTGGGCTTAGTGGGACTATCATTTGTTTTTTCAGGTCTCTCCAGAGATGTTCGATCGGGTTCAAGTCCGGGCTCTGGTTAGGCCACTCAAGGACATTCAGAGACTTGTCCCGAAGCCACTCCTGCGTTGTCTTGGCTGTGTGCTTAGGGTCATTGTCCTGTTGTAAGGTGAACCTTCGCCCAGTCTGAGGTCCTGAGCGTTCTGGAGCAGGTTTTCATCAAGGATCTCTCTGTACTTTGCTGCGTTAATCTTTCCCTCGATCCTGCCTAGTCTCCCAGTCCCTCCCGCTGAAAAACATCCCCACAGCATGATGCTGCCACCACCATGCTTCACCGTAGGGATGGTGCCAGGTTTCCTCCAGACATGACGCTTGGCATTAAGGGTAAAGATTTCAATCTTGGTTTCATCAGACCAGAGAATCTTGTTTCTCATAGTCTGAGAGTCTTTAGGTGCCTTTTGGCAAACTCCAAGCGGGCTGTCATGTGCCTTTTACTGAGGAGTGGCTTCCGTCTGGCAACTCTATCGTAAAGGCCTGATTGGTGGAGTGCTGCAGAGATGGTTGTCCTTCTGGAAGGTTCTCCCATCTCTACAGAGGAATTCTGGAGCTCTGTCAGTGTGACCATCGGGTTCTTGTTCACCTCCCTGACCAAGGCCCTTCTCCCCCGATTGCTCAGTTTGGCCTGGCAGCCACCTCTAGGAAGAGTCTTGGTGGTTCCAAACTTCTTCCATTTAAGAATGATGGAGGCCACTGTGTTCTTGGGGACCTTCAATGCTGCAGAAATTTTTTGGTACCCTTCCCCATATCTGTGCCTCGACACAATCCTGTCTCGGAGCTCTCCGGACAATTCCTTCGACCTCCTGGCTTGGTTTTTGCTCTGACATGCACTGTCAACTGTGGGACCTTGTATAGACAGGTGTGTGCCTTTCCAAATCATGTCCAATCAATTTCATTTACCACAGGTGGACTCCAATCAAGTTGTAGAAACATCTCAAGGATGATCAATGGAAACAGAATGCACCTGAGCTCAATTTCGAGTCTCATAGCAAAGGGTCTGAACACTTATGTAATAAGGTATTTCTGTTTTTTATTTTTAATACATTTGCAACTATTTCTAAAAACCTGTTTTCGCTTTGTCATTATGGGGTATTGTGTGTAGATTGATGAGGAAAAAAAGTAGTTAATTCCATTTTAGAATAAGGCTGTAACGTAACAAAATGTGAGAAAAGTCAAGGGGTCTGAATACTTTCTGAATGCACTGTAGACCCATCATCAGAGGTGTTAAAGGCGCTGCATGGTCAATCCGTCGTCTGCATTGGCCGGGGAGCATTTACGCTGATACGGCCTCTGCAGAAGTCAGGGCATACATACTTCTTGCAGAGTTGTTGAGTAGAGCTGTTGAGATGGAAGTTGTCAAGGAAGTGAGTTTGTGTTTATACAGGACCTCCCGCCCCCACCTACTGTCAACCAATCATGTCAATGTGGAGCTATACTCCATTCATTAGAATCACAATTTAACCAACCCCACCTACTTTTTGTGACTACCTGGACCTACCATTTGGTTTTGAAATATTGAAACCAAAACCAAAAGTATTTTGATAAACATGAAAAGGTGAATGTATCATTTATTTCAAATAGGCTATATGTCGTATTAAACAGCATATAAACACTCTAAATAGGTCAGGAGCCAGACAGGGAGCATAAGAAGGAACGAAAATGAATTATTTAGGCTATATTATTTCAACTACTTCAAGGCTATAGCCTACAAAGAAATACACTGCTCAAAAAAATAAAGGGAACACTTAAACAACACAATGTAACTCCAAGTCAATCACACTTCTGTGAAATCAAACTGTCCACTTAGGAAGCAACACTGATTGACAATACATTTCACATGCTGTTGTGCAAATGGAATAGACAACAGGTGGAAATTATAGGCAATTAGCAAGACACCCCCAATAAAGGACTGGTTTTGCAGGTGGTGACCACAGACCACTTCTCAGTTCCTATGCTTCCTGGCTGATGTTTTGGTCACTTTTGAATGCTGGCGGTGCTTTCACTCTAGTGGTAGCATGAGACGGAGTCTACAACCCACACAAGTGGCTCAGGTAGTGCAGCTCATCCAGGATGGCACATCAATGCGAGCTGTGGCAAGAAGGTTTGCTGTGTCTGTCAGCGTAGTGTCCAGAGCATGGAGGCGCTACCAGGAGACAGGCCAGTACATCAGGAGACGTGGAGGAGGCCGTAGGAGGGCAACAACCCAGCAGCAGGACTGCTACCTCCGCCTTTGTGCAAGGAGGAGCAGGAGGAGCACTGCCTGAGCCCTGCAAAATGACCTCCAGCAGGCCACAAATGTGGATGTGTCTGCTCAAACGGTCAGAAACAGACTCCATGAGGGTGGTATGAGGGCCCGACGTCCACAGGTGGGGGTTGTGCTTATAGCCCAACACCGTGCAGGACGTTTGGCATTTGCCAGAGAACACCAAGATTGGCAAATTCGCCACTGGCGCCCTGTGCTCTTCACAGATGAAAGCAGGTTCACACTGAGCACATGTGACAGACGTGACAGAGTCTGGAGATGCCGTGGAGAACGTTCTGCTGCCTGCAACATCCTCCAGCATGACCGGTTTGGCGGTGGGTCAGTCATGGTGTGGGGTGGCATTTCTTTGGGGGGCTGCACAGCCCTCAATGTGCTCGCCAGTGGTAGCCTGACTGCCATTAGGTACCGAGATGAGATCCTCAGACCCCTTGTGAGACCATATGCTGGTGCGGTTGGCCCTGGGTTCCTCCTAATGCAAGACAATGCTAGACCTCATGTGGCTGGAGTGTGTCAGCAGTTCCTGCAAGAGGAAGGCATTGATGCTATGGACTGGCCCGCCCGTTCCCCAGATCTGAATCCAATTGAGCACATCTGGGACATCATGTCTCGCTCCATCCACCAACGCCACGTTACACCACAGACTGTCCAGGAGTTGGCGGATGCTTTAGTCCAGGTCTGGGAGGAGATCCCTCAGGAGACCATCCGCCACCTCATCAGGAGCATGCCCAGGCATTGTAGGGAGGTCATACAGGCACGTGGAGGCCACACACACACACTACTGAGCATTTTGACTTGTTTTAAGGACATTACATCAAAGTTGGATCAGCCTGTAGTGTGGTTTTCCACTTTAATTTTGAGGGTGACTCCAAATCCAGACCTCCATGGGTTGATACATTTGATTTCCATTGATAATTTTGGTGTGATTTTGTTGTCAGCACATTCAACTATGTAAAGAAAAAAGTATTTCATAAGATTATTTCATTCATTCAGATCTAGGATGTGTTATTTTAGTGTTCCCTTTTTTTTTGAGCAGTGTACATTATGAAGCATTTGCGAGTGCGACACTAGGCTGGTAGGGACATAAAGGGCTCAGTATTTAAACAACATTTTATTGTATTAAATCATTACAAATTGCGCATATAGACTGTGACTTACTTAGAATTAAATACAAATTAAACGAAAAATGACTTATTAGGCTCAGTGAGTGCCTTTGAATTCATTTTTTGAAATACGAGTTCGGACAGAGTCTGTCATGCGATGGTGCCTGGAGAACAGGCCAGCATCGGAGAATACCCTCTCCGTGCTTGCAGAGCCACTGGGGATGCTAAACACCCTTCGGGCTACTCTTCTTGCCAGGCTGGGCCGAGATGCAGAGTTGTTTTTAGTTGTTTTTTTCTATAGGTAGGCCTAAAGGTTTTTAGGCAAAATAACCCAATCAAAATGGAAAGCTCCTTGAAGGTGGGAATATGCCAGGCCTATTTGGCCTAAATCAATTACGGCCAATGAACAAAATGAACAAAACTTTTCAGATATCTGATTTTTTGTTTAGAAATACTTTGCTACAATGACACACTTAGCTACCCACCTCGTTCCTTTCTTTTAGCATGTGCATGTAGTAAGTACACCATAATGCGTTCGGGATATGTGTATTTTCAGATTCCACAATGATTCTTTAGTTGTGGACACTACATCACCACACTCCCTCTCTTGATCTTGGTCCTCCTCACCTTTTGCACCTGTGTGTTTTATCAGTTTCTTTATGAAAATATTTAGCAAACTCCATGACAGTAGCTAAAGCAAGGGGTATAGGAGCACACAAGTAGCCTACAAATGCATGCTGGGCCAGGCATGTCCTGAGCTCGTGAAGTGAGCTCTACTGGAGCGAAATTGGAGAGGCCGAGAAGGCTGACGCTCCAGCCTTTGGGAATCTCGCTCCGCGCTCCAGTCAAATTGGCCACGTTCCTCTCCAGCTCCGCTCACATACTCTGCTCCAGACCAGTCCAAACCTCAGTATGAACTCACTGATGGGTAATGAGTGTAAAGTCACTCACCAAAGGGTAGAGTTGCAGGCACTGGCAGAGTGGGTCGTTCCCTGTGTCCTCTCTCGATCCGCAGGGTGGCCCACTGCCCAGACAACAGTTATTCTCAGTTGACCTCTCACACATTGCTTTCTACATACTGTCTTTTAATTGCCTAACTGCCCTTGTGTGCCACGCTTTGAACATTAACTATGTCTGTCTTCTCTAAGGGGTCAGGGAGCAACATGAATACAATATACAGAGCACAAAATCCTACATAATAATAGTGAATATAGCCTACAGTAGCCTGAATTGTATCAGATTAATAGATTAACATAAATCATCTGTTTTCCATCAAATAATATTCCTTTATGTAAACAGAATAACATAATTCGCTATTAGATGCTATTTAGGGCTGTTTGAATATTATTTTTTTGGAATAAAATAATAGTCAGCTATTCTGGAATTCCAGAATTTGAGCTCTTCCAGAATTTCCAGCACAGTTTACATTTTAGTCATTTAGCAGACGCTGTTATCGATAGTGACTTACAGTAGTGAGTGCATACATTTTTTCATACATTTTCGTACAGTTACCTCCAGTATCTTAACCAGGATCTGAATGTAGACAGAAGTGACCCCCAGGGAGAGGCCAAACATGGCAGGTATCATGATGAGCCCTATCATCACGGAGAACCACACCTGCAGCAACACAACCGCTATACTCCACAGGTCCTCCATCCCTCCCTCACACAGATCTGTCATCCACTGGTATGGCACATTAGGGTCAAGTTAACTGCAGAACAGACACAACAAATAGCTACTCACTTCAAATGAGCATTGCATTCTGGTTATATAAAGGAGACTACATTGAATGCATATGTTTATCAGCCCATTTTCGGAAAAGTATAACTTGGCCCTATGTAAACATGGTTCTGAAACAGGATATCAACACCGCCTAGTACAGCCAAGCCGAGAAAGAACCACTTGAAATAGTTTACTACATTATTGAGCCTACCATATCCGAGTTTGACTGCAGAACATGAAACGTTTCAAAATGTATCAAGAGAAATATCAAACCTGAAGACCTCTTCGTTGTATTAGGGAGTTTTCCATTCTTCTGGACCTCCTGTAGCGGTAGCTAGTATAGTCAGGCACAAGACCGTACGCAAAGTTCTGCAGTACAAATAAACCCCCTCCCCCACTGGCAAGTTTATTGAAAGAAGTTCACATCTCGTGCACATTCAGCTGCGCAGCAATAGTGCATGCGCGTGCCATTGCAGAGGTTATGCGCTGTTTTTACGCAATCGAACACTTTACATGTTGTCTTCGTTGACAACAGCAAACATGGCGGACTCAAACTCCTCTGTTCGCATCTCCGGATTTGTTCTTGGTTCATTGATGTTTCAGCACTTTAACAGTGATTCTGATGTGGTAGGTAGTTAGCTAGATAACTAATGATATAATTAATGATTGGAAAAATATCAAAGATTAACTGCACACCTATTAATCAGGTGCGTCTACAGAAAATATGGGCAACTAACTAGCTAACGTTATATCGTTAGCTAACTAGCTAGCTGGCTAACGCCACAACAAATAGATAGGTCTGACCACATAGCCTACTTACTCAGATGCTGATTATGCCAGAGATTGTTTATTATATTTAACTAACCTTACACATGTATGTGCCTCATTACATTTTACAGGAAGGTCTCATTCTTGGGGAGAGCAAAGCTGAAGCGAGAAGCAACATCACTGATTCTCAAATCGACAACATACAGTTTGAGCATACAATAAGTGAGTCATCAGCTGTGCACTTGAATCATCAGAATGTCATCTTGGCTACAGTGTGAACTGACTTATCTCACCGTGGTTTCTGTTCCAGACATTCAGAAACATATATCCTGTCGCAAGCTCAATAGGTAAACTGCAGAGGTGAAAGGTTTCTTAAAATTGTGATTCAGCTGTGTGTGTATTTCAACACTATATGGACCATTTCTGCTAGCAGCATGTCACTTCCAATAATAGTATTTTTCTCCCTGCATCCAAGCTTCTATAATAGAATAGGGGAGGTGAACCAGGATGAAGTAAGGTACCTTTTATCCAACGATAAGGAGGTAAGTGGAATAGGACACCTTGGTAATATTGCTGTCACAAATAGTGATATTTCAACTGAGTCCAGGGATGTTTCCATTTCTTTCCTATCTTGTTTGATAGCCAACAAAGCACACTTTTATTCAGCCTCTTTCTATTTAATAATAATGTATTCAACTTCTATAGCGCTTTCAATAATAGAAATCTCAAAGCGCTTCAAAATAAAAAAAAAACGAACTCACAAACAAACAAGCAATATAACATGGCAGGTCAGGTCAACCAATAGAGGTCAAGTCTTTGAATGCTGCATCCTCTGCAGATGTAGAGGGTCAGTTCATGGCTTGAGTAGAGGGAGCTGGTCAGAAGATGGTAGATGATGTTAGTGGTGGAGTCTGCTGATGATCTTGTAGAGGGCAAGTCAGGGAACAAACCAGACTGACTCTTATAGCCACTGGACTTATTTTCTTCCACTCTGTGTAGTGTAGCACCCACTTGGGTGATGCCTCAGCAGCTCTGGGCACCAGAAAGCTCACTACACACAGTTCAGAATAGTAGCCGTTGTCCTCTCTACAAGCCCTCTGCCTCAGCACTGTATTCCCTGTAGCTCAGTTGGTAGAGCATGGCGATTGCAACGCCAGGGTTGTGGGTTCGTTTCCCACGGGGGGCCAGTATGAAAATGTATGCACTCACTAACTGTAAGTCGCTCTGGATAAGAGCGTCTGCTAAATGACTAAAATGTAAATGTATTTCTCCATCTCAAGCGACTCCTCACATGATCTCAAAATATCAGGAACTGGCAGCCAGTTTAAATAAAAAAAGCTGGTACAGTGCATTCGGAAAGTATTCAGACCCCTTGACTTTTTCCACTTTGTTACATTATAGCCTTATTCTAAAATTGATTTAAAAAAAAAAAAATCATTAATCTACACACAATAGCCCATAATGACAAAGCAAAAACAAGTTTAGAAATGTTTGCAAATTTGTGAAATATTACATTTACATAAGTATTCAGACCCTTTACTCAGTACTTTGTTGAAGCACCTTTGGCAGCGATTACAGCCTCGAGTCTTCTTGGGTATGACGCTACAAGCTTGGCACACCTGTATTTGGGGAGTTTCTCCCATTCCTCTCTGCAGGTCCTCTCAAGCTCTGTCAGGTTGGATGGAGAGCGTTGCTGCACAGCTATTTTTAGGTCTCTCCAGAGATGTTAGATCGGGTTCAAGTCTGGGCTCTCGCTGGGCCACTCAAGGACATTCAGAGACTTGTCCCGAAGCCACTCCTGCGTTGTCTTGGCTGTGTGCTTAGGGTGGTTGTCCTGTTGGAAGGTGAACCTTCGCCCCAGTCTGAGGTCCTGAGCACTCTGGAGCAGGCTTTCATCAAGGATCTCTCTGTACTTTGCTCCGTTCATCTTTGCCTCGATCCTGCCTAGTCTCCCAGTCCCTCCCGCTGAAAAACATCCCCACAGCATGATGCTGCCACCACCATGCTTCACCGTAGGGATGGTGCCAGGTTTCCTCCAGACATGACGCTTGGCATTAAGGGTAAAGATTTCAATCTTGGTTTCATCAGACCAGAGAATCTTGTTTCTCATAGTCTGAGAGTCTTTAGGTGCCTTTTGGCAAACTCCAAGCGGGCTGTCATGTGCCTTTTACTGAGGAGTGGCTTCCGTCTGGCCACTCTACCACAACGGCCTGACTGGTGGAGTGCTGCAGAGATGGTTGTCCTTCTTGAAGGTTCTCCCATCTCCACAGAGGAACTCTAGAGCTCTGTCAGAGTGACCATCGGGTTCTTGGTCACCTCCCTGACCAAGGCCCTTCTCCCCTGATTGCTCAGTTTGGCCTGGCGGCCAGCTCTAGGAAGAGTCTTGGCGGTTCCAAACTTCTTCCATTTAAGAATGATGGAGGCCACTGTGTTCTTGGGGCCTTCAATGCTGCAGACATTTTTTGCTACCCTTCCCCATATCTGTGCCTTTACACAATCCTGTCTCGGAGCTCTACGGACAATTCCCTCGACCTCATGGCTTGGTTTTTGCTCTGACATGCACTGTCAACTGTGGGACCTTATATAGACAGGTGTGTGCCTTCCCAAATCATGTCCAATCAATTGAATTTACCACAGGTGGACTCCAATCAAGTTGCAGAAACATCTCAAGGATGATCAATGGAAACAGGATGCACCTGAGCTCAATTTTGAGTCTCATAGTAAAGGGTCTGAATACTTATGTAAAAAAGGTATCTGTTTATGTTTAATGAATTTGCACAAATTTCTAAAAGCCTGTTTCAACTTGAAATCAATTTTAGAATAAGGATGTAATGTAACAAAATGTGGAAAAAGTCAAGGGGTCTGAATACTTTCCTAAGGCATTGTACGTGTCCAGGTACATTTTTCTAAAAAACATTAGCCAGCTTACTAGCCAAGCAACAAAAAAAAGTTTGCCTGTCAGTCAATGTGCAAATCCATGGCTCAAAACCACCAGAAATGCAATAAAATGTAATTGTCATCAAAAACTAAAACGTTAGGTCTGAAAACAATGAAAAAATAACTAAATGTACAGGAGCTCTCTGTCTATGCTGCTACCAGGGCAACTATCAACTTCAACTTTATTTGACTTTCCTATCCAGGAGAATGTGATTGGTTGGTATAAACAGCGGAGAAACACAGATCAACAAATTACCTTCAGAGAGCAGGTAGTCCATGAGAACCTGAAGAGAGCACTCTCCAATCACGAGCTGATCTTTCTGCTCCTGACACCCAGTGAGGTCACATCATCAGGCTCCACTCACAAACTGGAGTATGCAGTCTACAGATCACATTGCAGGTCAGTACATTCACATTGTGATGTCCTTCACACGGTTTTTAATTAAACTGTTAGTGTTTTGCCATGGGATCTTTAGTGAGTGATTGTATGTTTTAAGGTCTGAACTCTCTCTGTGTTGCTCTGTCTGAGTAGTCAGTACCGCAGCGTTCCTGTCCTGGTCAGCAACCTGGGTTTGTTGGAACAGCAGGACTACTGGAGACTGTCTGCATCTTGTTCATCAGTCAACTACAACCGTGCTGTTTGGAAACACAGGTACTAGCTTTGCTGACCCTTGGCATTGGTTACTATTGACTTTGAAAAATATAGTCTGAGTGTGTTTGTCTGGTACATTTACGTCATTTAGCAGACGCTCTTATCCAGAGCGACTTACAAATTGGTGCATTCACCTTATAGCCAGTGGGATAACCACTTTACAATGTTTTTTTTTTTTTTTGGGGGGGGGGGTGTAAGGGGGGTAGAAGGATTAGTTTATCCTATCCCAGGTATTCCTTAAAGGAAGTGGGGTTCCAAGTGTCTCCGGAAGGTGGTGAGTGAGTGGTACCTGTATGAGTAGTCTTCCACTTTTCTCTTTTGTTCTGTGTAGATCTAGATTCTTCTCCTTAGATGGATCCCTGCAGGAGGTGGATGAGATTAATGAAATGAACAACTCCTTGCAGGTTGAACTGAAGGTAAGTTGAATGGATAGAAAAGATCAATGAAAAACGTACAAATGACTATGGACAACCATTGGTAAACGTCTGGCGTCACCTGGGATTTCGGTTTTTCTCTTCAGATGGCATGTAAGAAAGTGGAGGAGAGTGAGCGATTGGTCGAGGAGCTGCTTGAAGATGTTTCGTCTCTAAGGAGGACTGTCAGTGAGAGGAAACAAGAGCAGAAAGAAAGTATGACGTGACCTTCGGCTGTTCTTGATTTCTGAAATGTACTCTTACTATTGAGTGTGTTAAGCATGTTTTACTTACTTTTGTGTTCCCCAACTCAGCAGATGGAGACTCCACTCCAGCCCAGTCTCAGGAGAATGTACTGCTCTGTGAGGCCATTAAGACACTGTTCCCTGGGGCAGCTCTCCTCCAAACACAGGCTCTAACCTTCCAGGGGTTCCCCGTGCCCGAGTTCTGCTGTAACACTGACCATGGCATAGACATCACCACGACACTGCCTTTGATCCTGACTCATACAGTCCCCAAAGCCAGGAAGGGGAGGCTTGGAAGAGGCGGAGCGACGTCCTGGAGAAAACATCCCCTTTGTGAATCATCCGAAGCGCCCAAGAGGAGGAAACGCATGCTGGAGGAGACTGAGGGGTCTTCATTGTCAGTCAGTGGGTCAGAAACCGAGGAGGATTTGATACCAGCCAATCAAAACTGAAATAATTTAGACGTCTAACTCCCCGGTCTTCGGAAGACAACAATGTACCACTCGAGTGATTACTTTGCATAAAAAGTAGGTTAGTGTATGGAGTATAGGAACATCTGTGATGTTCCTCTATATCGGTCCCCTCTCAATTACTGAAAACTTTATATTTTTAGGGATGCCTTCAATTTGCTTATTTTGGGGGTAAAATGTTAAATTTTTTAAGAACTGTCCAAGTCCTTGAAATTAAAAGAGTGATATATATATATATATATATATATATATATATATATATATATATATATATATATATATATAGTTCAAGCTGTAATTGAACTTGTACATAATTGCATTAAATTATTTTCACATGTGTACGATTATTGGTCTCATGACTCAACCCAAGCATGACAGCTCAAAGACGAGACTAACAAGCAATCTTTCACATTCAGAAATGTTTTAATACACAATTACAGTATCTATGCTAGACTAGTTCCACAACACAGGTGGACACAGTTACTCCAAGTGCCGGATGTCACAGATGTTTGGATCTTTCATAAAATGTGGGTCCTTGTGGGTTACAGACATGAATCCTGTGGAGGGAAATATTACCAGTATTTATTATAGGAAGGACTGGATGATCAAAACATGGTCATTTTGAGCCATAGACAAAGTCTGTAGCACACAATGTTATTACAAATCCTCTAGTCAGTAGTGATAGATGGTGCATTGAAGTTTCTAAAGAGAAACTATTACAGAGCAACCTCGAGGTTGAACACTGCTGAAGATTATTTGATCATATAGTTCACACATTTTTTCATGTGGCGTTATTCAATCTCTGCACTTGTAGTTGATCCCACAACTTTTTTTTGTTTAATATTTTGTTTAATTACAGAGAAAATAGTTTGGCACATTTTGCTGTTTCATCACTTGCCATTGACTACAATGCATTATGAAAATGTGTCGAATGTATGTTGGAAAACACTCCAAACCAACTCTTATTGCATCAGAATCCCATTCTGAATGATGTCTCTGCTCTCAGTTTTTGGAAAATAATTCCACTGTCCCATAAATCCATATCTGCATCTTTTTGCTGTGGAATTTTGTTTCAAATGTAGTGCAAAAACATCATTCAGAATGGGATTCTGATGTAATGAGTTGGTTTGGAGTGTCCAGTCAATAATAAAATTAGCTATTTGAGGACATACCCATCGAATGAGCTTTCTTTATGGCTTTGGAGATCTCCCTCTGTTTCTTACCACATAGACCTGGGAAAGAATAAACACCTTGACACGACAGCCTCTGATAATGTGTAAATTTTCACCTTTTCTTCCTGACCAAGCTCTCACCTGTTATGTGCCTGCCGTAAATTCTTCCTGTGTGTGGGGATATAAACTGTGACAGCAGCTATTGGAAAGAAGTTTGGAGAAAAATGAAGCCTATTATAAATAAACATTGTATATTTGCTCATCACAGTACTTAGTACAGTAGTCTAATGACAGACCTGAACATTCTTGAAGTCCACTGTGATGTTACAGAGAACGCAGCCCTTCTGTGGTTGTTTGTATGGATTCTCCATCTGTAAAGGCTGGGGAGATTTACATTTATGTGAATCCACATAACAAATGTAGTTATCATAGTCATAGACTTTGTAGTCAAATGACATATAGCTTCAAATCAAGTTAAAAAAATAATAATTATCTTGACGTGGTGGAATGTCACTTGTTGCTTCCATATAGTCATTGCTGGGGAGCTTAACCTGTGAGGAAGTTTCATACATCGGTTTGCCCAGTGTTATTGAAAATTCTGCAGGGTGCAACTGGGCGAAACTGCCTACAGTAAGTGTATATTTCGTAATTGAAAGATTATTTCTCGTTGATGTGCAAGTTCACTTCCAAACCACATCGCAAGGATTATTAACGTTCCTAAACGTTATAGCAGAGCGTCAGTATTTGTAGTTCATTGATCCAGCTGTTTTGTATGTGGGATGGAGTGAAGGCTGGGTATACCGTTCTCGAGAGCTATCCATGAGCACTAAAGGTACATATAAATAAAGTTATATTTGCATTTAAAAACGTAATCCTGGATCCATTTAGTCCATTGATAACGTTTTACTTAGTGCACTCTTTGAAGGGTAGCTAGTAACTACCTAACGTTAGTAACGTTCCATCTGCAGACAGTGGCTTTAAATTGCTTACCATGTCATCGTTCTTCTGGACTACATTAGACGAGCCTGACAGACTTCTGAGACATTGTTCTGTGATAAAAATTAAAGAAGACATTAACTTACATCATAATATAGAGGTTACTCTGGCCAGCTAGATAGACAGATAACGAGTTTAAGACACGATGTGGCTGGCTAGTCAATGATGGATGGCATAGCTAGAGGTTAACTAACGTTAGCTAATAGGTTATCTTAGTGATTATAAACGTCAGTATGATCAGGCTTTTATCACTAGCAATATGATTAATCCAAAACATAGAACAGCATTCTTACGTGTGCCTCCAAGCTGTGAAAATTTAAATTGTACAGATCGAAAGCTTCGGACAGCGAGCATTTTTGACCTGCGAAGGAAAGAACCGGATGTTATTTGACGTAATTTCCTATGTTCAATTTGAAACGTTGGCCCATGATCTGATCAAAAGTTCCTCCCAAAATGAACGGATTTTCGAAGTGATAGTTTGTTAAATTTCCACATAACAAATCTAATACTTTAATATAATATAATGAATATAATATTCAAATACAGTACGGCACATATGGACTGATTGTATCAATAGATCGGAAAAAAGTTCAATGTCGGGAAAATGTTCCGTACTCCACCGGACTCAATTTAAAGTTACTATCTTTGCTCGTCTCTGATTGGCTAATATGTTAGACTCATGTTTACAAATTCATAATGATAGTCTCTGTACTGTATGTAGCCAGTTAGTTACTCTTCAAAATGTCTTCTCTATTTTATATTTTTTTTGTCTAGGTTGTTCAATACGGTTTGGTAGTAAGCCAAGTTTTAACCATGTCTAGTCAATGTAGCTACTTTCAGCTAACGAAAGACGGTTGAGTTTGCTCACTTAACATTTGGCGTTAACTTAGCCAACGTTTTAACGTTAGCTATCTTATTTTTTTCAAGATAGCTTGCCAACTCACTCAAGTCAGCCAAGTTGACTTACTAAAAAATTAATTGGGGAGCTCACCCTGTCAGCCAACATGATTGTATTGGATTTACTAACGTTACTTAACTAGTAGCTTGCTAGCATGCCAACATGGCTGGTATGCTACTAGAGTTTGCTTAGGCTAACGTTCGTGAGGTGTCAGACAGAGTGAGGTTTTACAATGAGTGCCGAAATCAAAGTAAAACGACAGTCCTCGAGGAAGAGGTCCAGGGATAGTCTAAGAAGTCATCTCACGCCCGTAAAGAAAATAACCAATGCTTCTGGACGACAATGTCCTGACAACACAGGACAGATAGAGCTTCCCAGAGCAGCTATGGACGAATCCATGGATGCAAAGTTTAGTGAGGTGGGTAGCAAACTAATATCACAATGGTGCATTATACACTTTATGTGGTCTGATGATGTTACTGTAATCAACATGATATTGAGTGAGTTACAAGTGCATTTACTGTTTCTCAATGTTGCTTTTTTGCAGTATTGCAGTGACACTGAGGACTTTTTTGGGGGCTATGACAGCATTGTAGGCGACAGCTCTTTCCTGGCAAAGCTCGATAGAGTGGAGCAGAACATGAGACAGCATGACATTGACCATGCAACCAGCAGATGCCCTGTGGTTCTGCTGTGTGACAAACCTGACTTCACCTCACTGAAGTCTTCAACCGACAACTGTCCGAAACAATCATGTGATGACTCAATGACAGAATCAATCCTGGAGGGCTTAACGGATGATGCTTTCATAGACGTGCCAAGCTCACAACTCGCCTTTCTACAAGACCTCCAAACAGCAGACAGGAACTGCTGTACAGATGAGGACAAAACCTCCACGCCTATGAGACATCCTGAAAAGTCTGTCAGCACTGAAGATAGAAATGAGAGGCATATCGCCCCCAAGGCAAAGAAGAGTGTGTCAGATCATCTGAAAAGAGCTATGATGGCTAATGCAGCAGCTCCTTCTAGTTTCTCCCGGACTGCAGTGCAGAAGGAGGCCGTAGTTACAGAGGAGATCAACGTTGCCATGCAGGCTATGGAATCTGTCTCCATGGAGACAACAGACCTTGGGCCTTTCTTTGGTCTTCCCACCAAAGTTAAGGAGCTGATATGCAATCTCAAAGGAATCAAAGATTTATATGGTGAATAGCTTTCTATTCCTTTTCCCTGTCTAATTGCATGTCCTCACTATAGTTCTGCATCAACTTTATCTTGGCTATGTTTTCAAAGTGTCTGGTTGTCTTGCTAAGTGTGAGTAATTTGATCTCTTGCCCTGCTTCATATTCCAGAGTATCATCAATAACAATGCTCTCTTATATTTCAGAATGGCAGAAAACTTGTCTAAACCTGGACTCAGTTCAGCAGAGGAGAAACCTCATCTACTCTCTGCCCACCAGTGGTGGGAAGACTCTGGTGGCTGAGATTCTTATCGTCAAAGAGCTTCTGTGCAGAAAGAGGGATGCCCTTTTCATCCTACCCTACATATCTCTAGTGCAGGAGAAGGTATTGTGGTCATTATGTTTTATTTATGAAATGTCTATAATTCCCCTTTCATCCAACTGTACAAAGGGATTATAATTAAACATTTGTCAATGGCAAATCTGTGCACTGTATTTTGCATGCATTCCCAGGTTCGAGGGTTGGCCAGTTTTGGCCTGGAGCTGGACTTCATGGTGGAGGAGTATGCTGCCAGTAAAGGCAGGTTCCCTCCAGTGAAGAGAAGGGGCAAGAGGTCCTTGTACATCGCCACTATAGAGAAGGCACACAGCCTGGTAAACTCCCTCATAGAGGCCAAAAGACTGGACAATGTGGGGCTGGTGGTTGTGGATGAGGTATGCAAATATCTTATTACATTAACATCTGAGACATTATCATTACAAAACATAGAATAGTCACAAACTTGACACAAAAAATGTATCCTCTGATGCCTTGTGTATTTGATGCAATCAATTATACTGTACTGTAGTATCCAATTATTTTGCAATCTCCTTATTAGCTCCATATGTTGGGTGATGGTAGCAGAGGAGCTATCATTGAGATGACTCTAGCCAAAGTGCTCTATATCAGTAGTAAGTGTGACTGCTATTCTTACCCTCATTATATTCATGGTGAATGACGATGTTTTGAAAATGTGTGGAAAACTGATTTTCTTCTTTACACAGAGTCAACTCAGATCATTGGAATGAGTGCTACTCTGGGCAATGTCCAAGATATACAGAAGTTTCTGAAGGCAGATAACTACACTAATGACTTCAGACCGGTATGATATTTCCTAACCACAGACTTGATCTACGCAATGCTATTTTATCCTCTGTGGTATGCCTCCTTGTTTGTGAGAGTCCACGTACAACATGAAAATCACCCAACGTATTCTTTGAAAGCTTAGTTAAAACCAATAGAAGCTAGACTGCGTGTTGTGTACTCCATTGTCTCTGTGATGGTTGGCCACTGATAGTCATGGTGTTTCTGTTTCAGGTCGAGCTGAAGGAGTATGTGAAACTGAAGGACAGCATATACGAGGTGGACCCCAAGGAGGAGGAGTGCTTCAGGTTCTCTCGGCTGCTGAACTTTAAGGTATAATCATCCATTTGATTTGAAGAGCCATCAATTGTATATTTAAAGACATACTGGACTCCAGTGCCAGGCAGTCAGCTTTTGAAGGCTGACACCCATTGAATTTGAAATCTTAGCACCTGACTAATCCGTCTGTTTTCCAGTACTCCAGTGCAATGCAGAAGGTCGATCAGGATCATATTGTTGCCTTGGTGACTGAGGTCATTCCAAGCCAGTCGTGCCTTGTCTTCTGTCCCACCAAGAAGAACTGTGAGAACGTGGCTGGGATGATCTGCAAGTACCTGAAAGAGTAAGAGGACATCTTTATATTTCTCTTCTCTGTATTCCAAATTATGGTCAGCCTCTCCAGTGGTTGTGATTGTGTGGATTGTGATCGATCCAACATGCCACTTCTTCTTGAATTCTCCAGGGACTTTATCCTGCGCAAGCAGGCAGAGAAGGCTGTGTTGCTGGGTGAGCTGAGGAGCAGTGGGAACGGCTCCCTGTGTCCGGTGCTCAAGAAGACGGTGCCGTATGGCCTGGCTTACCACCACAGTGGGTTGACCAGTGAAGAGAGGAAGCTGGTGGAGGAGGCCTACTCTGCTGGGGTTCTCTGTCTCCTCACCTGCACCTCTACGCTGGCTGCAGGGATCAACCTACCTGCTCGGAGGCAAGTCAAAGCAAGGAAGCATAACCTGTCCGATTACTTTACTGCTACTAAGGCTACAAGGATCAGCTTTTTTCACGAGACATGTCATAACAGAAGTTGCATCTCTGTGTTAGATTGTGACAGTTATTGTAGACCTAATTGGATCCATCATTGTGTGTTTGAACCAGGGTGATTCTGCGTTCTCCGTATGTGGCGGCAGACTTCCTGAAGAGGAGCCAGTACAAGCAGATGGTGGGGAGGGCTGGACGGGCCGGGATAGACACTCATGGAGAGAGTATCCTCATTCTACAGGACAAAGACAAAGTCTTGGTAAATAACAGCTACAACCATAACAATAGTAAACCTATGCATGTAGTACTATGGAATGACATCCTTATGTTTACACGTTCTGACATTTATAGCTGACTCATCTAATGCATTGCTCCTGTCCACCTTTTTGTATTTTCAGGTCAAAAAGCTTGTATGCGCACCAATGGAGATCTGTAAAAGCAATTTAATGCTGAATAACGGAAAGGGTGTCCTGAGTCTCATCCTATCCATCATTGGATTAAATGTACTTCTTAAAAATATCCATAAGTGAATTATAGAAAAATCCAGTTCCCTTTTTAAATGTCTCTTTTTAGCAAATAACTTGGTCTTAATGAATGAATTGATGATACTGTTTTTGACTGTTTTCTATTGTCTAACTTCAGATCACGAACAGCTTAGAGCAGGTCAGGGACTTCATGAGTGGCACGTTGCTCTCGGTCCAGGTGAAACAGGTGTGCTTGGAGAGGAGCCTGTGGGAGGTGACACAGGAGTGTGTTGAGCTGCTGAAAGAGAAAGGCCTGGTCACCGTTTCCACAGAGCCACAGGGTGGGACTCTGCAGGTCACCAAGCTAGGAAGAGCTACTTACAAAGGTGAACTACTCTCAAACTCGCCAGAACTGGTGTTAATTCCATTTCTATTCCCATACAAGGAAATTGTTCATAGCAATCAATTTAAATCCTGTTACAGAGATGTTTTTTTTCTTCTATGAATCACACTAAACACTGTAGCATTATCTGCCCTCTCCTCCCCAGGCTCAGTGGATCTGACCTACTGTGACGTCCTGTATAGAGACCTGTCTAAAGGCCTGGAGAGCCTGATGCTGAATAGTTTCCTCCACCTGGTCTACCTGGTCACACCCTATGACATGGTCTCCCAGTGCAAGCCTGATTGGATGGTCTACTTCAGACAGGTTAGAGCCCAGGCCTGATGTACTTATTGGTTGTCTACATTAATTACATGTAGATTGGTAGGTAAAATACCTCGAATAACAATTGAGTTTTTATGCATTTATGAAAATATCTAATAATGAAATACATTTCGTATATAATATTGTTTTGTGCAATAGTTTGTCTTCCGCAGTATTTAGTACAGCAATTATTGTGTAAGAGTTTGTTTTGCTTATCAATTTCAGTTCACAATGTTATCAGCTGTGGAGCAAAAGATGTGTGCAGCAGTTGGTGTGCCTGAGAGTTTCGTTGCTAGAAAGGCTGCTGGACAGAATGTCAAGAAGGTAAGAATATTGAGGAAGCATGGCATGATTTAAATACTGTTAAATCAATAGTGTCATATTTTATTTATTATTATTATTATTATATTTTCACAGTTCCCTAGGTTGAGAGATTATCATTGGCTTGGGGTATTATGAGGGCTTATACTTGAGTACGTTGGCTTAAAACCATTATTAAATTAATCTCTAGATTAATCCTCTTATGTTTTTGTAGCTTTTTTCTCTTAACCCCTATATGAAGGCAGACTTAACTAATTTAAGTAATGAAGATAATGAACCCTAAATCTCTTGTGATGTGAATTCAAATCTGCTCTCTACAACTGATCATTCATGTAATAACTGTAACGAGCCAATTCTGTTGTACTATGTCTACTGTCTTTACCAAAGAAGTAGGAATCATTCTACTTCTATGGTCCTTCCCCTCTGCTCTGTTCCCCCAGAATGTGGACCAGGTGGTGGTGAGCCGGCTGTACCTGGCCCTGGTGCTGCTGTCCCTGCTGAAGGAGACTGACCTGTGGAGCGTGGCCGACAGGTTCCAGCTCAGCCGGGGCTTCATCCAGACACTACTCAGCTCCTCCTCAGTCTTCTGCTCCTGCGTGTTGCACTTCACCGAGGTAGCTACCAGCATAGATGTCATATATTATAAGGTTCCGTCCAAACAGAGCCACGTCCTAGTCTCTTAGCAGTGTTACAAGAGCTTTAACTTCAGTCCTCCATTTTTGTCATTTAGCAGACGCTCTAATCCAGAGCAATTTACAGGGTTAAGTGCCTTGTTCAAGGGTGCATCGACAGATTTTTTTCACCTAGTTGGCTCGTGGATTCGAACCAGCTCGGTTACTGGCCCAACGCTCTTAACCGCTAGACTACCTGCCGCCCACTACTGAGAATAGCTCCTAATTTCTATGTTCTTTTGCTTTCTCTTTTGACCCCAATGATCTCACTGTGCCCTCTCTCTGCGTTATCAGGAGCTGGAGGAGTTCTGGCCCTTCAAAGCTCTCCTGACCGAGCTTACCCGCAGGCTGACCTACTGTGTCCAGGCAGAGCTCATCCCTCTCATGGAGGTAGCAGGAGTCATGGAGGTCAGACTTTAAAAAATCTCAATTCATTTTATTGGCATTATAGCATCCTGATAATGTCCTACTTACCTGGCAACAAAAGGTCCAAAGAAAACATATCCACATCTTGGTATCCAGTCATAAGAGCTATTGTCCTAGCCAAAGTTTTCCTGCATTGTTCCAGATGCTTTTTGCATGCTTGTAACCCTTCGATCTGCTTTTGACAGGGAAGAGCCAAGCAGCTATACAATGCTGGATATAAGACTCTGGCTCATCTGGCCAACGCTGACCCAAACGTTCTCGCCAAGACTGTGGAGAACCTCTTCAAGAAGCAAGCCAATCAGATTGTTGCTTCTGCAAAAGTATGACAATATACGTACAATTGTGCTGTTGTTTCCTTCCTAAATCCATATAGAGTGAATACAAAAAAGGGTTATAGAAAATTGGATTGAGATGTGACAAACATTTGCAGAAGTTGTACCCTATTTGATCATTGTCCTCCTGTGGTGTCTGTTTCAGATGCTGCTGAATGAGAAAGCTGATGCACTTCAGGAGGAGATGGATGATTTATTGATGATGCCTCTTAATCTCCTCTCTTTGTAATATGTTGCTGCAGTGTATTTATTGTGTGAAGATTACTTTTATTTAGCTTGGTGTGTTAATATTGTTTTATAGTGGTGTATCATATTGTTTATAGTTTATAGGAGTGATATTAAAAAATATATTTTTGTGATGTGGAAGATTTCTTTTTTTTTTTTTAAGGTAATATTTCAATCCCATAGAGATGAATAAGATGCTACTGTGAGCATCAAAATCATGAAAGAATTCACACTCAGTGATTAATTGGTCATTTATATAACAGCATGTCAATCATTTGACAGGATTCCAAAGGCTTGACCCAATATCAGTGAGTAGTGGGACATAGTAGAGTAGAGTACTTTACTTATTTATCTATCACCTTCACCTTCTCTTGGTTTTATGATAAAGAATCGGGTTTCAATGAAGTTATTTTCTATAGTTGAATTCTTCCAAGTAGCAGCAGCAGCAAGTTCTACAATAGGTTCAGTGGAAACCTGTCATTCAGGGCAGGTGATGAGCCCCACTTGTTTAGCAAAATGTAAAAACTTTTTTGCCTGTTAATTTGGGATTAATACGTGTCACATATCAGTTTACAATTTTTTTTTTATGAATAAAAATAATTGATAAAACCGCATACAAACTTTTTTGCTTTCTTGAATAAGGCAGCTCCAAAATGTAGGTGTTTCAGCCTAGCTCAGCGCTTTCTGTGGAGGCAGGGCAGCCAGGGGGACACTACCTCACTGCAAAATCTAAGGGTAGAGCTCGAAAATTCAAGCCCCTTGGGTGCTGCCATAGAGTTACATTAGAAGTGCCTGTCCAAGAAGGCTCAAGGTCATTGGCCACAGATAAAATTACGTAAAATCACGTTATATCTACAGTAGCTTTGATTGGACTGATCATGTCAACATCATACTTAAAAAATCTTAGCTAGCAGTCATCGTCATGAATCAAGTCGACAATCTACTGGCAAATCCTTTTCAAACCTTGTCATATGAAAATAAATTATAGATAAAACGTATCGGTGCTCATCGGCAGTTGGAAATCGCTAATTCAACAACGAGTGGTTTGGAAGGAATCAGTGGCTAACTGCAAGCATTGCAAAGCAATCACTAGCCTGCTATTCAGTGGAGTGGGTGTGTGGTCCCAATTCTTGGTTTAAGGGTCTCTTTTCCAAGCTTAAAAGGATAAACATTCAACATTGGCCATGATGTCAATCCAGCATGACTTCTGCCGAGCTCAAAACAACTGGAAACTCGAAATGGGAAATCTGACCTCCGTGAGTTCAAGACAACTGGGAAAATACGTTAGCCCGTTTTAGAGAAATGTAATCATCGAATATTGTAAGAGCTTTCATTCTCTGCTTATATGCCCCGTTTATTTATCCTACGGTTCTGACTTGGTGTATACTATAAGAACGGCCCATGTTTTGAATTCTGTTGCTGTACATTTCAAAAGTGCTGAACAAATAGTTATATTGGCTACGTCCGTCCTAGCTTGCTCATTAATGTCTTAATCAAAATTATGGATTGCCTCATCAGTAGAAACCACATTTGTTTAAGCAAGTTAGCCATATCAGCAATGTTTTTTTAAAGGCAGTAAATGAGGCTGAATGAACTGTTTCGATGCCAGACAAGGCACTGCTGATAGCCAGGTATAGCAGTGGTAAGGTAAGTGGGACTGCTGTTGGGACTCTGCTGTTGGGACAGCTTTATGTAGGCCCTAACAGTTTGTGGGCACCGTTTGTCACCGTTATAGTGCAATTAATGTATTGTTTAGTGTTGTGTTGTGTTGTGTAGTGGCTTTGCTGGCATGCATATGTTAAATTGCGTCAATTCAAAATCTGGTATAGGAACAAAAAGAGGTGAACACACGTCTTTTAAGATATACTAGTATTTTAATTAATGCAAACACTTGAATGGTAAATATGATGTTCGTATATACGGCCCACTGAAAAACCACGCAGGGCAGACAGAGAACTGAGCCATTGTTATAAGTTCTTCTTTAAATACTCTGACAGAGATAGTTTCCGCTCCCTGCTGGGCCTGTCAGAGTAGAGGCTGGGTGTGGTTTAAACTTACCCAACCTATCGATGGCGCACAGGCTGGTCCCAGCCCCTTGGCGCTTCACTGTTGCCGGGCATTAGTTGTTATTTTTACAACTTGTCTCGAGTCAGCAACCTCAGACATAGTTTTCTTCTTCATGTTGCAGTACTTTGTCCTTGAGCGGTTTAACAAAGAGGCAGTGTGTGTCTGTGTGAATCACAAATCTGTCTCAGCCTACCCCCTAACGGTTCCTCACATTAATCACAGCTTGTTATGTTAAACAATCTATATCAGTACAGCACAAACCTATTATGTTTAATCATTCACGTATTCTTTATACGCTAGGCATCACATCTAGTTATAAGAAAATATATCCCAACACATTTATTATTTTTTGCCTCACTAAGATTTACATGTTAAAATCGCCACTGAACAGGTTACATCTCCATCACTTCACTTCTCACACATCTCTCACAAGCAGGTGAGTATGGAAATGTACTTTTCGGAATAAGAGTCCCAAGCGATGAAATAATAAACATCTAAAATGTCTTATTTCAAAATCATGCGGGCCTACTGTGTTGAGACCGCCCCTACACGATCATGACCATGCACGCGAGCCTAGTTAACGTTGCTATACTGTGGCAGCCTATCGCACCCAAGCTTCTGCATTAGTACTTTGTTGTTATGCATTCACGGCAGATAGACAAAAGATGCTTTGCTTTCTGTCGTTTGGACCAGGACTACACCAAGGACTTTTCTGGACCAGACAATTGAATCCGACCATAACTGCATACGAGTTTACTAACGACAACGATGGATTTACACCGATCGACGCATTTATTGGGATAGTGAGGGACTACGAGCATCAGTAGATTTGGGTTGTAATTGTCTTACATATTGCTATATAAATTAGAGTTTATCATGATGTCAGGCGTATCAATCTTGGCATTTGTGATGATATCTATTCTATCTCATGGATATTATGTCGGAGCAAGGGTCGAGTCTGCGAGGGATGAGGTACATTTTGAGTCCGTAAATCTGAACGTGGACCTCTCTCGAGTACTCAAGAAAGGGAATGGACGTTTTTTGTCTGTGGCCATAGACGCGAGTCTAGTCGCTGAGGAGAAGTTCATGTACCTTTTAACGTGAGTAAGGCAAGCATTACTATTTTGAGCCAGTGGTGTGAAGTACTCAAGTAAAAATACTTTAAAGTACTACTTAAGTAGTTTTGGGGGGTATCTGTACTTTACTTTACTATTTATATTTGTGACAACTTTTACTCTACTACATTCCTAAAGAAAATAATGTACTTTTTACCCCATACATTTTCCCTGACACCCAAAAGTACTCGTTACATTTCGAATTTTTAGCAGGACAGGAAAATGGTCCAACTCACGCACTTATAAAGAGAACATCCCTGGTCAGCCCTAATGCCTCTGATCTGGCGGACTCACTAAACACAAATACTTCGTTTGTAAATTATGTCTGAGTGTTGGAGTCTGGCCCTGGCTATCCGTAAATAAAAAAAAAACAAGAAAATCGTGCTGTCTGTTTTGCATAATATAAAAATGTGAAATTATTTATACTTTTACTTTTGATACGTAAGTATATTTGATCAATTACATTTACTTTTGATACATAAGTATATTTAGAACCAAATACATTAAAACTTTTACTCAAGTAGTATTTTGCTGGGTGACTTTCATTTTCTATCATGGGATCTTTCCTTTTACTCAAGTATGACAATTCGGTACTTTTTCCACCACTGTTTTTGGGACAATTGAAATGTATGTGTGTTTTATAAAATGATTACATCAGTAAAAAAAAAAAAAGACCACAATATTAGAATCAGCCAGGGTCTTATTTTCAATGTTACTCTCTCTCTAAGTTGTTTCTATCTTTAGCATAACAGAGAAACAGTTCAGAGACCAGCGCTACTTAATCTTATGAAACTCCATAAATACTGAACTAAACCTTCTTTCATTCCACCAGGTCTCCAAAGCTGAGGACATTGGCAAAAGCTTTGACCCCAGCATTTCTGAGATTTGGAGGGACAAGACAAGATTTCATGACCTTCAACCCTACATTTATACATTCAAATGAGAATCACAAAAACTATGTGTTTGATGCAGGTAAATATGACATACATTGTGACTCATCTGAACTGTGTGTCACATTACACCACAGACATTGTCAGGCATAATGACATATCTCATGAATTGCAATAGCAGCTCTTATGATGTGTGTATGTGTGGTTTGACTGTGGTCACTTGACTTCTCAGCATGATTCCTGTTTGGCATGAGAGATAGAACAGTATGTTGATTCACACAGAGTCAGCTTGAATGCACACAGTAAACCAGGCAGATCTCAAACAATGTCATTAGTTTGAGGTAGCTCTTAGGTCATCAGCTTCTGAGTGACTCACAACCACTTGGTTTCTGGTTCCTGTTTTGCTAATCAGATGACATCTGTGAAAGGCTGGAGCTGCCTCCACTACTGGAAAAGAGACTGAAGCAGGAATGGACTCTACAGGAAATACTTCTTGACAAGGAGGACTTGCAGAGGAAGTATAGGAGTGTAAAGTTCACAGGTATGAACAATGGTCATGCAGGCAGCATCAGTCTAGCTCACAACACACTGGCTCTTTTGTTTAGCTGTTATCTTGGAACAGCTTTTAGTCATTTAGCAGACGCTCTTATCCAGAGCAACTTACAGTTTAGTGAGTGCATACATTTCTTTTGTCATACTGGCCCCCCGTGGGAATCGAACCCACAACCCTGGCGTTACAAACGCCATGCTCTACCAACTGAGCTACACGGGACCATTTCACTTGAGCAAATTCTCTGAAAGAAGAAAACAACATTTAAAATGTGTGTTTTTACCCTGACAGAGTATGCAGTGGATTTGCTCTACTCTTTTACAAACTGCTCTGGATTAGACCTCATCTTCGGGCTCAATGAGCTGCTCAGGACCTCTGAGAACTCTTGGGACAGCAGCAATGCCAGGACCCTCCTACAGTACTGTGAATCTAAACAGTACAGCATGTCCTGGGAGCTGGGCAATGGTAATAATTTTGAGGCCCACATGTATTTACAGTGTTATACTAACTAAACCATCTTTCATTGTGTTAATGACTGAAACTGGGAATTCTCAACTAAATGATTTAGGTATTGTAAGGTTGGTAGAAAAATATCCTGTCTCCCTTTAGAGCCCAACAGCTATGAGAAGAAGGCAGGGATCAGGGTGGATGGATACCAGCTCGGCCAGGATTTTGTTCAACTCCGCAAGATTCTGCAGGAATCCAAACTTTACCATAACACTGGACTCTATGGACCAGACATTAGCCAGCCCCGGGACCACCGGAGAGACTTACTGGAGGGGTGAGAGTTTGTCCCTTTATGTAGCCTATACATAAAGTAGTCCCAATATAGTCCTATTGGACAGGCTGTTGTACTAACTAAAGTAATAGTATTACTGCATACCTTTCTATATTCAAGGTTAAATATCACTTCCACTGTAGTGGGAGACTAACCTCTGGTTTGTCCAGTTCATGGGTGTTTTCTGTCATTTCACAGCCGTATTATACAATAAGCCAGAGTTTATTACTGCTTCTCTCCTTTATATCCACCTGCTGTATGTCTATACCCAAGTAAGGCTGTGGTTCAAACCTTAAAGGGATACTTTGGGATTTTGACAGTGAGTTCATCTGACTGGAGAAGAAGATAAAGGGCCTCATTGCCAAAATCCCAAAGTATCCCTTTAACTGTTAATCGTTACACCAACTCATTCATCTCTTATCTAAAAGGCAAAAAGTATACCAAACATATCCTGGCTCTTTTCCCTATTGGGAAACGGCTTTATTTTTACAGTGTATGGGACAAACTCTCATCCCTCAAGTGTCTCCGGTGGTCTCAGGGCAGGTTAATATCAGATCAATAGATTCTTCTTACATAACTATCAATCATGTGGGATATGTTGAACAATCATATCCCATTTACTTTTTATAGGTTCTTGGAGAGTGGGGCAGAAGCAATTGATGCATGCACCTGGCACCAGTAAGTTGAACTGTCCCTCGTGTAGCACACAATGATAAGGTCAGATGTCACGTGTTGCTGCCTTTGACTTTGACACACACACACAAACACTGAACAAACACAGGAATAGTTTATGAGCGTGCCTGTGACGTTGGGAACGTGGGTTTGCCACAAGGGGAAAGAGGAACTCAACAGAACTGTTTGTAAAGGCTTGCACTGACCAGACTTCACATCCCACTGGGAAGTTCAACGTCTAGTTTTGATTTACATTTGGTTGAGTTGTCAACTAACGTGAATTCAACGTGAAATCTAGTCAACAAAACATTTCACATGTCATCGAATTTAGGTTAAAAGTTGCATTAAAAAAAGACAAAATGCCCTTATGTTGATAACTTAAAAAAATTCAATCAGTTTTCCATGTTGATTCAATGTCATCACATTGGGTTTTTTGGGTTGAAATTATGTGGAAACAACGTTAATTCAACCAGTTTCATTTCCCAGTTGGGTGAGTGTGTCAGATGAGAGATATGGTCTACAGACCATATAATCTGAAAATGTGATTTTATTCATACTGATTCTGTTATGTTTGATATGAAGACTAAACTCATCCTTGATTACTCTGCCCTTCTATTAGTTATTACGTCAATGGAAGAGACACGTCTCTAGAAGATTTCCTAGACCCTGAGGTGCTAAACACTTTGGCCCTAAAAACACATGAAGTCATGGAGGTAAGGAAGAATAAATAAACAAATGTACATGTTTATAGATGTACTATACATTTATTGTAGTTCAGTAAGGAAGTGAAATGGTTCTTCTGTGTCGCGTGTCCTCAGACCATTGAGCTGGCGTCCCCTGGGAAGAAGGTGTGGCTTGGAGAGACTAGTTCTGCCTATGGAGGCGGGGCTAAGGGCCTGTCTGACACATTTGTCGCTGGATTCATGTGAGTGTGTGTGTATGCTTGTGTTTGTCAGGATAGATAGATAGATAAACCCAGTCAGTATCACACCCTGATACCATGTGATAATTTTAGTCTGAATTACTCTGGAGGTTGTAACAGGCAGCCTAGTCTCGCTTGCCAGACTCATGGTGCTCCACTGTGGGAAGAGAGACTACATACCTGCAGCCTCATTACGCTGGCAGTAGTTGAGTCAATTGTGTCATTAGTCTACGGTCATGGAAGGGAATCTCTGCTATTCCGGAACATGTGGTTTTCATTGAATTTACAGGTCACCTGTGAGCCTCATGATCAGTCTTTCAACCATGCCCTCTTCCAGGAAGACTTACAATAGTAGTCTCACATGCAAAAAAAATGAAAGGAATGCCACAAAAATGCATGGGTCCCATGATGTATCCAACATTGACTTAATCAAGTGTGAGGGCAGTAGGTTTTTACGTAGGATTACATATTTCATTCTCATTGAATAAAGTTGGTTGTATCTAGATCAGATTATATGTGTCAGAATCTCTTTGCAAATAAAAACTTCTGAATGTATTAAAGTACTGTATGTGGTGTAAAATAAATGTTTAATGATTACAGGTGGCTGGATAAACTGGGCCTGGGTGCGAAGCTTGGATTGGATGTTGTCATCAGGCAGGTTTTGATTGGATCTGGGACTTACCACCTGGTAGATGATAACCTGGATCCACTTCCTGTAAGAAATATTCCTGTTTATTCTCCTCTGTATTCTGAATTCCTGAAAAAACACCAATGATCCAAGTATTTGTTGATTGTGACAATAGTTTGTCTATTCTATGAATTTTCCCATTTCTATATAGTCGGGTCCATAATTATTGGCACCCTTGATAAAGATGAGCAAAAAAGACTGTATGAAATAAATAATAAAAATACTGACCTATATTGTATGCTCAATTTAGTGAATATTATTCTCAGAGAAAGAGATTTTGTTTAACAAGTCATTTAAAAAATCTATAAAAAAAGATAGGAGTATGAAAATGTATGCACTCACTAACTGTAAGTCGCTCTGGATAAGAGCGTCTGCTAAATGTCTAAAATGTAAAATAAGTCAAAATTATTGGCACCCCTGTTTTTAATATTCTGGCACTCTCCCCTTGCGAGGATAGCGGCACTGAGCCTTTTTCTAAAATGAGATTGGAGAACACATTGGGAGGGATCTTAGACCATTCTTCCATACACAATTTTTCCAGATCCTTGATATCCTTCGTCTGCGCTTATGGACTGCCCTCTTCAATTCAAACCACAGGTTTTCAATGGGGTTCAAGTCCGGAGACTAAGAAGGCCATTGCAAAATGTTGATAGTCTTTTTTGCTCATCATTATCAAAGGTGCCAATCATTTTGGACCTGACCGTATAATAATTTATCTGGTTTATGGTTGTATTACTGGCAGGATTACTGGCTATCTGTTCTGTACAAGAGGCTTGTTGGACCAGAGGTGCTGAGTATAGAAGCATTTTCCATTTTGGGAAAGATGAAAAGAGTACGGGTCTACCTGCACTGCACTAACAAGAAAAGGTATTCCACAATCCAGCTGTATTTAAGATGAAACAACAACCTGTGTTTGTGAATGAGACAGATGTGAGACAACCATCCTGACTGTTCCTCAATGTTCTCTCTTCTCCAGCACAAGCTACAAAAGTGGAGCAGTCACATTGTTTGCTCTGAACCTGAGTAAGATACCTGCGAGGATCGCTGTGCCTGCTATAGTCTCTAACAGCACTGCAGAGGCCTTTGTTCTACAGTCTGAACAGCCTGGCGAGGAGGGACTCTACTCCAAGTAGGCTACCAGTAAACTGTATTCCCATCAATGGGGCCACTAATCTTAAGTTTGTTGCTTTTTATTATTACAGTTTAAGGAAGGGTTTGCTATTGTCTTGCCTTGTAGTATTGTCAATGTAAACAAAGCTACAGTGGGGAAAAAAAGTATTTAGTCAGCCACCAATTGTGCAAGTTCTCCCACTTAAAAAGATGAGAGAGGCCTGTAATTTTCATCATAGGTACACGTCAACTATGACAGACAAAATGAGAAAAGAAATTCCAGAAAATCACATTGTAGGATTTTTTATGAATTTATTTGCAAATTATGGTGGAAAATAAGTATTTGGTCAATAACAAAAGTTTCTCAATACTTTGTTATATACCGTTTGTTGGCAATGACACAGGTCAAACGTTTTCTGTAAGTCTTCACAAGGTTTTCACACACTGTTGCTGGTATTTTGGCCCATTCCTCCATGCAGATCTCCTCTAGAGCAGTGATGTTTTGGGGCTGTCGCTGGGCAACACGGATTTTCAACTCCCTCCAAAGATTTTCTATGGGGTTGAGATCTGGAGACTGGCTAGGCCACTCCAGGACCTTGAAATGCTTCTTACGAAGCCACTCCTTCGTTGCCCAGGCGGTGTGTTTGGGATCATTGTCATGCTGAAAGACCCAGCCACGTTTCATCTTCAATGCCCTTGCTGATGGAAGGAGGTTTTCACTCAAAATCTTACGATACATGGCCCCATTCATTCTTTCCTTTACACGGATCAGTCGTCCTGGTCCCTTTGCAGAAAAACAGCCCCAAAGCATGATGTTTCCACACCCATGCTTCACAGTAGGTATGGTGTTCTTTGGATGCAACTCAGCATTCTTTGTACTCCAAACACGACGAGTTGAGTTTTTACCAAAAAGTTCTATTTTGGTTTCATCTGACCATATGACATTCTCCCAATCCTCTTCTGGATCATCCAAATGCACTCTAGCAAACTTCAGACGGGCCTGGACATGTACTGGCTTAAGCAGGGGGACACAGCAGGATTTGAGTCCCTGGCGGCGTAGTGTGTTACTGATGGTAGGCTTTGTTACTTTGGTCCCAGCTCTCTGCAGGTCATTCACTAGGTCCCCCCGTGTGGTTCTGGGATTTTTGCTCACCGTTCTTGTGATCATTTTGACCCCACGGGGTGAGATCTTGCGTGGAGCCCCAGATTGAGGGAGATTATCAGTGGTGTTGTATGTCTTCCATTTCCTAATAATTGCTCCCACAGTTGATTTCTTCAAACCAAGCTGCTTACCTATTGCAGATTCAGTCTTCCCAGCCTGGTGCAGGTCTACAATTTTGTTTCTGGTGTCCTTTGACAGCTCTTTGGTCTTGGCCATAGTGGAGTTTGGAGTGTGACTGTTTGAGGTTGTGGACAGGTGTATTTTATACTGATAACAAGTTCAAACAGGTGCCATTAATACAGGTAACGAGGGGAGGACAGAGGAGCCTCTTAAAGAAGAAGTTACAGGTCTGTGAGAGCCAGAAATCTTGCTTGTTTGTAGGTGACCAAATACTTATTTTCCACCATAATTTGCAAATAAATTCATTAAAAATCCTACAATGTGATTTTCTGGATTTTTTCTTCTAAATTTGTCTGTCATAGTTGACGTGTACCTATGATGAAAATTACAGGCATCTCTCATATTTTTAAGTGGGAGAACTTGCACAATTGGTGGCTGACTAAATACTTTTTTTCCCCACTGTATACTACTAAAAATAGAAAGGAGACTTAACGTGTGCTGTGATCGCCAGGTCTGTGAAACTCAACGGAGCGGTATTAAAGATGGTGGATGAAAGAACTCTTCCATCGCTCCAGGGAACTCCTCTTCCTGCAGGAGAACATCTCAGACTCCCTGGTTATTCCTTTGCCTTCTATGTCCTCAGCGAGGCCCAGGCACTGGCCTGCCGATGACCCCAACTGGAGAGGAGGACTTGAGAAGATGGAGGTAAACTCACTGTCTAGACTAAGAGAAGGAAATACTGTACTTGACTATTGCACTAAACAGCTGTACATCTTTGCCAAAGAATGTAAACCAGGTGAATGTGGTGAAAGGATTCAATCATCTTTAAAAATAACTTAAATCACTTTTCATCTACATATATTACATTTTAATATTTTTCAACATGTATAAATAGTCATACTACCTTGTGAGTTGTGTTTAACATTTCAGAGGACTCATAAGGTTTCTGTATGTCTTGGAAGAAATTGCTGTTCAGGAAACACTTAAATGCAATACCTGTTGTACATAAATTATGTTTCATATTTGATGCCAAAGATGTTAGACTTAACTCAACTTGTTTACACTCTGCTTACTTGATTTTCGACTCTGTAATGTTAAGTAGTTGAATAGTGCAATTTTCTATTTTGGTACACTGGGATACAACTTTTTTTTGTTGAGAAAATAAATGCAGTAATGAAATATGGCATGGAATACTATATATGGTTTATATTTTTTGTTATATATTCTCAGTTTATACATATTTAACTTCAGTTGAATCAGAGAGAGGCAGCAATGCAGCGTGTTATTCACTGTCACGATCGTCTTGAAGCGAAGTAGACCAATACGCAGCGTGTTGAGCGAACATGATTTACTTTATTATAATAACGCACAAAAACCAAAAACAATAGACGACTCGTGAAGTCCACAGTAACAATGACCGTAAAGGAACAAAAACCCACAAACACAAAGTGAAACACAGACAGTTAAATATGGCTCCCAATCAGAGACAACCAGCACACAGCTGACACTCGTTGCCTCTGATTGGGAGTCATTCATTCAAACATAGAAATGAACCCAACAGAAATACCAACATAGAAATACACCCAATGAATGAACACACCCTGGCTCAACATAATGAGTCCCAGAACCAGGGTGTGACAGTACCCCCCCCTAAAGGCGCGGACTGCGACCGCGCCTCAATAAGAGCTAAACAGGGGAGGGCTGGGTGGGCATACCTCCTCGGCGGCGGTTCTGGCTCCGGCCTTGCCCACCACCCTCCAATCAACCCCCCATAGCGCCCCTGGTCCGGTCTGACCCCGCTGGCTGGATCTGGACTGGACATTGACGGAGCGGATTGCTTACGCTCCGTTGTGGAGCAGCTGACCGGTCTTACCAGGCTGACGACTCGCACCCCGGGCTTGGTGCGAGTAGCAGGAACGGGCTGAACCAGGCTGACGACTCGCACCCCTGGCTTGGTGCGAGTGGCAGGAACGGGCTGGACCAGGCTGACGACTCGCACCCCTGGCTTGGTGCGAGTGGCAGGAACGGGCTGGACCAGGCTGACGACGCACACCGTAGGCTTGGTGCGTGGAGCAGGGACAGGCCGGACAGGGCTGGCGACGCACCCCGTAGGCTTGGTGCGTGGAGCAGGGACAGGCCGGGCCGGGCTGACGACGCACACCGTAGGCTTGGTGCGTGGAGCAGGGACAGGCCGGACAGGGCTGGCGACGCACACCGTAGGCTTGGTGCGTGGAGCAGGAACAGGCCGGGCAGGGCTGGCGACGCACCCCGTAGGCTTGGTGCGTGGAGCAGGGACAGGCCGGGCCGGGCTGACGACGCACACCGTAGGCTTGGTGCGTGGAGCAGGGACAGGCCGGACAGGGCTGGCGACGCACACCGTAGGCTTGGTGCGTGGAGCAGGAACAGGCCGGGCAGGGCTGTCGACGCACACCGTAGGCTTGGTGCGTGGAGCAGGAACTGGCCGGACTGGGCTGGCGACGCACACCGTAGGCTTGGTGCGTGGAGCAGGGACAGGCCGGGCTGGGCTGGCGACGCACACCGTAGGCTTGGTGCGTGGAGCAGGGACAGGCCGGACAGGGCTGGCGACGCACACCGTAGGCTTGGTGCGTGGAGCAGGGACAGGCCGGACTGGGCTATGGAGACGGATAGGAGACCTGGAGTGAAGAGCTGCCACAACCCGTCCTGGCTGAATGCCTACCTTCACACACTCTGTGTGAGGCATCAGCACAGGACGTACAGGGCTGTGTACCCGTACTGGCATAACAGCACGTGATACTGGCGCAGGATATCCGGGACCGAGGAGAGACACTGGAGGCCCCGAGCGCTGAGCCGGCACACTCCGTCCTGGCTGCATGCCCACCTTCGCACAACACGTGCGGGGTGCTCGCACAGGACGTACCGGACTATGCCGGACCACTCGTGGCACAGTGCGCAGCTCCGCATACCGCGGAACCTGCCCAGTCTCATGCTGCCATGCCTGAGTACGGGGAGTTGGCTCTGCTCTCCATCCAGGCTCCGCCAACCTGCCTTCTGGCCCCCAAAACCCGGTGGCCTTCTCTCCTCGTCTCCTATTTCGCCCTGTGGCAGCCTCCTGCTGCCCAGTCGCCCATGCCGTGTGCCCCCCCCTAAAAAATTATTGGGGGTGCCTCTCGTCCGTCCGACGATGGCACTGCTGACGCCGCTGCTCCTCTCCTGCCTGGGTCTCCCCCTTCATAGCCCTCCGGTACCGGACGGCCTCCTCCTTGGTAATCTGCCCCCAACCGAGGAGGACATCCACCAGAGTCACCTCCTGCGTGTGTTCCTGGACACGCTGCTTGGTCGTTGTATGGTGGGTTTTTCTGTCACGATCGTCTTGAAGCGAAGTAGACCAATACGCAGCGTGTTGAGCGAACATGATTGACTTTATTATAATAACGCACAAAAACCAAAAACAATAGACGACTCGTGAAGTCCACAGTAACAATGACCGTAAAGGAACAAAAACCCACAAACACAAAGTGAAACACAGACAGTTAAATATGGCTCCCAATCAGAGACAACCAGCACACAGCTGACACTCGTTGCCTCTGATTGGGAGTCATTCATTCAAACATAGAAATGAACCCAACAGAAATACCAACATAGAAATACACCCAATGAATGAACACACCCTGGCTCAACATAATGAGTCCCAGAACCAGGGTGTGACATTCACATTTCAAACACAGAACAACCAGTAGTACCATCAGCACCTGTCTGATGTTGACAGCACTAACATAGACACTGACAGATCCTTTACTCCTCCTGTCCCTCCCCGTGGGTGATGATGTAACAGAGGGATTTGTAGTCCAGGTTTCTTGCTGGGTCGAAGGTAGACGATTGGAACATCTGCTTAACCTGAAAGGTTTGCAGACAAATATCAGTACAGTATCCGGGTTTTCATCTCTTAGATACCTGAGCTGCTAATGAATCTAATTGTCAAAAAAAGGCATTCAGTTACTGGTTGTTTGGTTGAACGTTAGAATGCTCCAAACTAGTGACTTAAGCGACTTTGAGCGTGGTATGATCGTCGGTGCTGGGCGTGCCAGATCCAGTATCTCAGAAACGGCCGCCCTCCTGGGCTTTTTATGTACGACGCTAGGGTTTACCGAGAAAGGTGCGACAAACAAAAAACATCCAGTCAGTGGCAGTCCTGTGGGTGAAAACAGCTAGTTGATGAGAGAGGTCTAAGTAAAAAGGCACGAAGCATGCCAGCTAACAGGCAGGCCACAAACAGACAAATAATGACGCAGTACAACAGTGGTGTGCAGAACGGCATCTCTGAACGCACAACTTGTTGATCCTTGTCACGGATGGGTTATTGCAGCAGACGACCACATCATGTTCCACTCCTATAAGCTAAAAACAAGAAGAAGCGGCTCCAGTGGGCACGCGATCACCAACACTGGACAGTTGAGGAGTGGAAAAACATTGCTGGGTCTGACGAATCCTGGTTCCTGTTGCATCATGCTAATGGCAGAGTCAGGATTTGGCCTAAGCATGGTCCATGGACCCATCCTGCCTGGTGTCAGCGGTACAGGCTGGTGGTGGTGGTGTACTGATGTGGGGAATGTTTTCCTGGCACACGTTAGGTCCCTTTTTACCAATTGGGCAACGATTGATCTGAACATTGTTGATGACCAAACCCAATAGAGCATATTTGGGATGAGATAGAATGGGCTTTTTGCAGCATGAATGTACCGCCATCCAATCTGCCGCAACTGAATGATGCCATCGTGTCAGCATGGACCAACATCCCTGTGGAACATATCCGACACCTTGTAGAATCCCTGCCCCAAAGAAGTCAGGCTGTTCCAGAGGCAAAGAGGGGTCCGACACATTCAGTTTACCTGGAGTATAGATGAGATATCAAGCATCACCACCATTCAAACAACCATTAGCTGTTTTACAGTAAGTGATATTCAGTTATTCAGAAGATACACTACATGGCCAAAAGTATGTGGAGACCTGCTCGTCGAACATCTCATTCCAAAATCATGGCCATTAATATGGAGTTGGTCCCCCCCCTTTGTTGCTATAACAGCCTCCACTTTTCTGGGAAGGCTTTCCACTAGATGTTGGAACATTGCTGCGGAGACTTGCTTCCATTCAGCCACAAGAGCATTAGTGAGGTCAAGCACTGATGTTGGACGATTAGGCCTGGCTCGCAGTCGGTGTTCCAATTCATCCCAAGGTGTTCGATGGAGTTGAGGTCAGTGCTCTATGCAGGCCAGTCAAGTTCTTAAACACCGATCTCGACAAATCATTTCTGTATGGACCTCGCTTTGTGAACTGGGACATTGTCATGCTGCAACAGGAATGGGCCTTCCCCAAACTGTTGCCACAAAATTTTAAGCACAGAGTCATCTAGAATGTCATTGTATGCTGTAGCGTTAAGATTTCCCTTCACTGGAACTAAGGGGCCTAGCCCGAACCATGAAAAACAGCCTAAGACCATTATTCCTCCTCCAAAGGTAGCGTTCTCCTGTCATCTGCCAAACCCAGATTCGTCCGTCGGACTGCCAGATGGTGAAGCATGATTATCACTCCAGTGAGTCTAATAGCGGCGAGCTTTACACAACTCCAGCTGACGCTTGGCATTGCGCATGGTGATCTTAGGCTTGTGTGCGGCTGCTCGGCCATGGAAACCCATTTCATGAAGCTCCCGACGAACAGTTATTGTGCTGACGTTGCTTCCAGAGGCAGTTTGGAACTCGGTAGTGAGTGTTGCAACCGAGGACAGACAATTTTTACATGCTTCAGCACTCGGCGGTCCCGTTCTGTGAACTTGTATGGCCTACCACTTTGTGGCTAGACATTTCCACTTCACAATAACAGCACTTACAGTTGACCGGGGCAGCTCTAGCAGGGCAGAAATCTGACGAACTGACTTGTTGGAAAGGTGGCATCCTATGACGGTGCCACATTGAAAGTCACTGAGCTCTTCAGTACAGGCCATTCTACTGCTAATGTTTGTCTATGGCTGTGTGCTTGATTTTTATACACCTGTCAGCAATGGGTCTGGCTGAAATAGCTGAACTCACTCATTTGAAGGGGTGTCCACATACTTTTGGCCATGTAGTGTATCATTGAAATACTGACCAAGAGATGCAAAGGTATCCTTCAGATCTTCTTTGTCAATGAACCCATCTCTGTCCTGGTCGATAAGTGTGAACGCCTAGCCCAGGGAAAGAAAAGGATTACAGAACAAACACCATATATTTTTTCCTTACTCACTATGATTGGGCACATTGCTGTGCTTCCTCATAATATGACTTATGACGAACATGATATATAATGTGTGAGCTCACCTCTTTGAACTCCTGGATCTGTGTCTGCTCGAACATGGAGAAGACATTGGAGGATGCTCTCTGGGCTCTCTTGGCACCCCATTCCTTCTTCTTGGTCTTTCTGCTGGCCTAAAGAGAGGTATTTGTGTAGTTTTGTTAAGTGTTCACTACAGTGTATTAATATGGCACACTAGCTAAATAAACTCTCAGCATTTCTTCTAAGTACGCTTTAAGTTGAAATAGAAATGTTATTGTTTTTAATTGTGTACAATTGTCTTACTTTTCCACAAACAATTAAAATGTGTAATAACAGAAGCCACTCAAACAACTGTCTTTACGCACTGAACATTTTTGCCCATGTTCTATTCACGTGTTTCAGTTTTTTTCACTGAGGGAAATAGATTAAATTTGCTCAACAACCTTCAGTGTTATAACATTTCTTGTGCAATTATTATGAAAGTAACACTACTTTTTACAGCTGGTTGATTATGTCTCTCAAAGCCATCCAGCCCTTCCCAAGATGCACATTACTACAATATGTCCATCACAAAGTAAATGTGACAAGTTTGATAGCAGTGGATTTGTGTTTCTTGATAATTCCAAAAGGCACAATTGATGTATTGCTCTTTATCGGTAGGCCTACATTGCAGTCTTGCCCACTGTCTGCAGCAGAGCGGCATGGGCTACTGCATATCTCAAATGTACCTATAAAATGTTAACTATTCTCTTGAGATAAGCCATTTTGACAAAGCAATGAACAGTTAGACTCAGCTGGCAGGGAATTCCCGGGGAGGAGCTGTAGTTGCTGGCGCCAATGTTTACCACCCCTTGCTGTTTTAGAATTCTATACTTAGTAGTGTTATTATTGGGCCTATATTAGAATCCTGGCTAAATCAATATCTACTCATGTTACACCCTTCATTTTTTGTTGTAGTGCCTTATCTGGGGTGTGAAATTATCATTTGAATCGAATGATCTAATGGTAATGTACATTTGTACATCGAGACAATGAGCAGGACCTACAACAAGAACATTCTGTCGTATTTTTTATTTTACCTTTTTTTAACTAGGCAAGTCAGTTAAGAACAAATTCTTATTTACAATGACGGCCTACACCGGCCAAACCCGGTATTAGTAGAATAAAGACGGAATGTATGATTCCTTTGTGCAACTCGGAAGAGGAGATATTTCAGATGGCACGTACAGTTTCATGCAAATAGGAACAGAGTGGGTAAATACTACCCTCATGAAAAAACGCAGCAACAGCACAATGTGGCCACCTTGTGGTGCTATAACTTTGTCTGAGAACATGCTGCTACTCCACAGCGGGCTAACTGTCAGGAGGCTGACAGACACTACATTCTGTGACTGCTGCAGATCCTTTTGCCTACTGCCATTTCTGATGATCTAGTTATCAATATACCATTATCATGAGTAATGGGACAAATGACAGGTAGATGTGATTTGACACTTTTGATCAACCTCTTGGATAGTTATTGGCAAGGCTTCATCTATCAAGGAACCACCTACATCTGGAATTGTGCCTTCGGGCGATGCATTACTTTTACCCCTGTATAGGATTTCCTATTTCCACTACATATTGCCTGGCATTGCAGCACTGATGTCCATAGACGAACTATTCCTGAGTTCACATTTTAGCAGAGGGCTCATTGTGCACTGAGTAGGCCTCGATAAAGAGTGTGCTGAAAGTGAGAAAGAGCACACATAGGTAGACCTGGCCAGACTCACATTGCCTGTGCCTCCGGGGGAATAGTGAGGCCTGCTCGCCAATGAACACAAACAAACTCTCTGGCCACAGCTCTAGACTTGCCCACAGTCTCATTAGCCGGCGCCGTCTGCCGTTTACCAACAGTTCAGAGTAAAGGTCACTAAAATGTGCTGATGCAGGTAAAACGATGTATATTTTAGTTAGAAATTCATAAAATGTGCATTATGCAAATATATGCAAGTGATATATTTGTATATGCAAATCTCATGGGATGCACCTTGAAATATATCTTCAAATGATGTTCTAAAGAACTGTCATATGTTTTAATGACAGTATATTAAGAACTTGTTGCATTAGGTTATGCGCACATCAAACGGATTGCACCTTAATTAATAGCCTAGTAGCCAATCTCCAGTTTGAGCTGCATGCCATAATAAACTCCACTGGTAGAGTGCACTTGCACATACATACGTAAGTGGGCGTGGCACTATTAGGTTCAGGTTCCATTTCACCCATTCAATTCTCTAGCATGAGCAGTCTCTCTTGCCTATGTAGTTCACCCGTGCGCGATTACGTATGAAGGAACCACATTATTCGGGAAGCAGGGTATCCTACTAAGCAGAGGATATAATGGTGAACTTTTGACGGGATTTGATATAAGAAACGCAATCTACGTTTACCTATAGTTTATTTATCCACCCGGAAAAGTATATACATTGCGCACGGACATGGCAAAGGCATACAAGCTGTATGTAGGAATAGTCACAGGTAAGAGGCACAGTTCTGTGTTCCTGTTAAATAACTCTTCAACCTCACACTAACTTTATTTACTCACTGTAACTGAATAGAATTGCCTGTAGTCTGGTTAATAACTGAATTCTACAATCAAGATTGTATTTCCTTTGATATTTATATCTTTCAGGTATCATTAATATTTTATTTCTTATATTACGTCACTAGTTTTCGTTTATTCAAAATATAACTTTGGTATATATCATATGTATATAATGTAGTCCCATGTAACTCAGTTGGTAGAGCATGGCGCTTCCAACACCAGGGTTATAGGTTCGATTCCCACTGGGGACTAGTATAAACATGTATGCATTCACTTCTGTAAGTAGCTCTCGATAAGATCATCTGCTAAATGACTAAAATGTAAATGATCCTATGTCCCTGTCTATACTGTGATTGACAGCAGTAATTAGCGTGCTGGTGTGTCAGATGATCAGGGAATGATCTGCCTCTCTATTAACAAATAGAGTTCCCTAATGAACATGCCAGGAATACCCAAACCAATAATATAGACTGTCAATAACCACATCTATTTGGTTCATAGATAAGGTAGCTTTATCCCATGACCCACATTTGTATCATGGCTGGGTGTTGTTGTCCTGAATATTATGAAACACTAACAGTGTTCTTGGATTGGATGCAAGACTATCTTTAGTAAGGTTATCAGTGTTGGGAATCCCAGAAACCCAAGCTGGGGGTATTACTGTCAAATTTCTAATCACATTAAGCCCACAACCTTTGCTCTGTTCTTAACTTTCGGATTCTAAAACAAATTAATTGTATGGATTTGACTTGATGTTTGGGCATTGTGCGACCAGCTCTGTTTGTTTTCTGGTTGTAGCTTTGGCCCTATGCAAATACTCCCTGGCAGAATGGAATGCAACTGAGGAGCCGGCCAACAAGACTGTATCCCTCCATCACCAAGGCAACATAAACAACTTCACAGGTATATTGTTTCCCCCCTAGAGAAACATAAACCTATGGAGGGATAATCATGCCATAAAAGTTTGTTTGAAGTTTGAAGAAGGCGTACATAAAAGTATTTCTTACCATCTGACATACTCAGGTTTAGAAGCAACCTGTTGGATTAGAAAAGTAATGTGTTTGTGATTACATACACTGTAAGTTTGTAAAGAGACGTAGTGCCCTTGAAAAACATTCTTATACTAAGTATTCCTGCTCTGTCATTAAATTGAAGGCCATACTCTAGGAGTGCATCATTCGCATGGTAGTTCATTCAAACAGTTGGAATATCAAATGCTTCTCCACCCAGCCCTTTAGTAACAGGAGGAGGTGTCATGTACCAGCCCCAACAGAGACCATAATGCAAATTAAAGCCTTCTTGCCACCAGTGACCATGCAGTCATTACCTTTCCTGTGAGTGGTATTGTGAAATGTAGCACCAGCTTTTTATGTGCACTGGGTTAGGTTCCTCACTGCTAATTAGATGTGCACTCTATGGACGGCAGGCTGACATCAGGTGTCAATTGAAGCAGCCTCAGTTAGGGCCTCTACTGTTCAGGATTTGTCAGTTGCTGTTTGATGATAACCCTCACACCTAAAAGGGCTAATCAACTACTGATCGTACCATTGTATTTACCCACATGGAGTGATGCAGTGACGTTTATTTTATTAGGGGAAGGTGGGGGTAGTTCCTGATTACCTCTGCCATGTACTATTCTTGTTATGTTCAGTTGATCAAACAACAGCAGCATTTCCCAGCTACATACTTATTCCCGGGAAATGTGGTGTGATGACTGGCTGCACATACAGCTACTCAGCTAAATACCTATCAATTTACACCTGTTGTTCCTTTGTAACCAAATCGGCTCCTATTCAATATTTAGGTCATTTTAAAGGCATGCTCTCATGTTCCACACTACAATTAGGGCTTTCTCACTCTCTGTGATGTTAACTAAGCCTCATTATTCTTTTACCCACCCAATGACTCACTGGATGGGAATAGAGGAGAATAAAATAGTAATAGAACTCAAGGTTTCCATTCTCTTCACTAACAGTGGCCAAATATAATGTTCTGTTTGTGTATTTCTACACAACTACCAAATTAGGCTGAGGAGGATATCAGTTGCTTTTTACTTTGACAGAATTTAGTTAGTTATAAATCTGTAATTGGCACATTATTATCCTCAATCACACCAGTCTTATCCCAGTAGTCAGTTCAGTTCCTAGTCCTTCCTCAGATCATGATGCCAGGAGCCTATTTATATGACAGGTCACATTGGCTACCCTGAGTCAGGTTACTAAGGGAAAACAGGAGCCTCATGACAAGTTTGAAAGGGGCCTCTACCCTTCAAACTCATATCTTATTCTGCATCACCTTTTCAATGCAATCTTTTTGTCAGAAGGATATTATATATCAAAATAGTTACTTTATAATCCCCCTTGCCCCTGTATTTTTCTCTTTGCGCTTGCCATAGACTCAATAGAAACTGCAACTCAAGCCAAATGGAGCGGCCATTTCACCAAATGTCCAAAGGAGTTCAGGAATTACTGTATCCATGGGTCGTGCCGCTTTGTGAAGGAACAGAACACTCCTTCATGCAGGTACATCAACTCACCCCACCCTTACTGTGGGCCCCAATCATTTATCTGTACATATCCAAGGCAGATGGTCTCAAGCCAAGAACATGCTGCATACTCAACATTCTCTGCAGTGAAAACACCTGATTCATTTGTATCTATTTTGATAACTGTAGCAGAATTATTGCACATTATTATTACAAGTATGAAGTTCATGTTCTTGATAAAGATTTTGTTTTTGTTTTTACTTTTATGTCTGACAAATAACATTGACATCACTCATTGACCCTACTGATTCTCATTCGCATTAGAAAGAGACGGAGATATCGTGGACGTAGGTCGGGGTGCCTTGTAAGGATCCGACGTCGAGCGAGTAAACTGCCTCTTCCATCAATCCTATTAGCCAATGTTCTATCATTTGAGAATAAATTGGATGACCTAAGATTATGGTTATCCTACCAACGGGACATTAAAAACTGTAATATCGTGGCTGAACGACGACATGGACAACATACAGCTAGCGGGCTATACGCTACATCGGCAGGATAGAACGGCTGACGCCGGTAAGACAGGGGGTGGCGGTCTGTGTATATTTGTAAACAACAGATGATGCACAAAATCAAATACTAAGGAAGTCTCTAGGTTTTGCTCGCCTGAGGTAGAGTATCTTATGATAAGCTGTAAACCACACTATTTACCAAGAGAGTTTTCATCTATATTTTTCATAGCTGTCTATTTACCACCACAAACCAATGCTGGCATTAAGATTGCACTGAAAGAGCTGTATAAGGCCATAAGTGAACAGGAAAACGCTCATCCAGAGGCAGCGCTCCTAGTGGCCGGGGACTTTAATGCAGGGAAACTTAAATCCGTTCTACCTAATTTCTACCAGCATGTTAAATGTGCAACCAGAGGAAAAAAAACTCTAGACCACCTTTACTCCACACACAGAGACGCATACAAAGCTCTCCCTCGCCCTCCATTTGGCAAATCTGACCATAACTCTATACTCCTGATTCCTGCTTATAAGCAAAATCTAAAGCAGGAAGCACCAGTGACTCAGTTAATAAAAAAGTGGTCAGATGATGCAGATGCTAAGCTACAGGACTGTTTTGCTAGCACAGACTGGAACATGTTCCGGGATTCTTCAGATAGCATTGAGGAGTACACCACATCAGTCACTGGCTTCATCAATAAGTGCATCGATGATGTCGTCCCCACAGTGACCGTACGTACATACCCCAACCAGAAGCCATGGATTACAGGCAACATCTGCACTGAGCTAAAGGGTAGAGCTGCCGCTTTCAAGGAGCGGGACTCTAACTAACGCATATAAGAAATCCTGCTATGCCCTCAGACGAACCATCAAACAGGCAAAGAGTCAATACAGGACTAAGATTGAATTGTACTACACCGGCTCTGACGCTCGTTGGATGTGGCAGGGCTTGAAAACTATTACAGACTACAAAGGGAAGCACAGCCGCGAGCTGCCCAGTGACACAAGACTTCCAGATGAGCTAAACTACTTCTATGCTCGCTTCGAGGCAAGCAACACTGAAGCATGCATGAGAGCACCAGCTGTTCCGGATGACTATGTGATCACGCTCTCCGTAGCCAATGTGAGTAAGACTTTTAAGCAGGTCAACATTCACAAGGCCGCAGGGCCAGACAGATTACCAGGACGTGTACTCCGAGCATGTGCTGACCAACTGGCAAGTGTCTTCACTGACATTTTCAACATGTCCCTGGCTGAGTCTGTAATACCAACATGTTTCAAGCAGACCACCATAGTCCCCGTGCCCAAGGACACTAAGATAACCTGCCTAAATGACTACCGACCCGTAGCACTGATGTCTGTAGCCATGAAGTGCTTTGAAAGGCTGGTGACGGCTCACATCAACACCATTATCCCAGAAACCCTAGACCCACTCCAATTTGCATACCGCCCCAACAGATCCACAGATGATGCAATCTCTATTGCACTCCACACTGCCCTTTCCCACCTGGACAAGAGGAACACCTACGTGAGAATGCTATTCATTGACTACAGCTCAGCATTCAACACCATAGTGCCCTCCAAGCTCATCACTAAGCTAAGGATCCTGGGACTAAACACCTCCCTCTGCAACTGGATCCTGGACATCCTGACGGGCCGCCCCCAGGTGGTAAGGGTAGGTAGCAACACATCTGCCACACTGATCCTCAACACGGGGGCCCCTCAGGGGTGCGTGCTCAGTCCCCTCCTGTACTCCCTGTTCACCCATGACTGCATGGCCAAGCACGACTCCAACACCATCATTAAGTTTGCTGACGACACAACAGTGGTAGGCCTGATCACCGACAACGATGAGACAGCCTATAGGGAGGAGGTCAGAGACCTGGCTGTGTGGTGCCAGGATAACAACCTCTCCCTCAACATGACCAAGACAAATGAGATAATTGTGGACTACAGGAAAAAAAAGAGGACTGAGCACGCCCCCATTCTCATCGACGGGGCTGTAGTGGAACAGGTTAAGAGCTTCAAGTTCCTTGGTGTCCACATCACCAACAAACTATCATGGTCCAAACACACCAAGACAGTCGTGAAGAGGGCACGACAAAGCCTATTCCCCCTCAGGAGACGATGTCAAAGATTTGGCATGGGTCCTTAGATCCTCAAAATATTATACAGCTGCACCATCGAGAGCATCATGACTGGTTGCATCACCGCCTGGTATGTCAACTGCTCGGCCTCCGACCGCAAGGCACTACAGAGGGTAGTGCGTACGGCTCAGTACATCACTGGGGCCAAGCTTCCTGCCATCCAGGGCCTCTATACCTGGCGGTATCAGAGGAAGGCCCTCAAAATTGTCAAAGACTCCAGCCACCCTAGTCATAGACTGTTCTCTCTGCTACCGCACGGCAAGCTGTACCAGAGCGCCAAGTCTAGGTCCAAAAGGCTTCTCAACAGCTTCTACCCCCAAGCCATAAGACTCCTGAACAGCTAATCATTGCTACCCAGACTATTTGCACTGCCCCCCACCCCCCCCCCCCCACCCCATATTTTTACGCTGCTGCTACTCTGTTAATTATTTATGCATAGTCACTTTAACTCTACCCACATGTACATATTACTTCAACTACCTCAACTAGCCGGTGCCCCTGCACATTGACTCTGCACCGGTACCCCCCTGTATATATAGCCTCCCTACTGTTATTTTATTTTACTTCTGCTCTTTTTTTCTCAACACTTCCTTGTTGTTGTTTTATTTTACTTAAATAAATGCACTGTTGGTTAAGGGCTGTAAGTAAGCATTTCACTGTAATGTCTGCACCTGTTGTATTCGGCGCAGGTGGCCAATAAAATTTGATTTGATTTGATGTACTAACCTTGTTTACTGTGACCCTGCTCAGAATATATGCACTTAAATTAAAACAACAAGGCAGATATATGATTGGTTTAATATGATCTGACTGCATTTCATCAAGCATCAAAGAATCACAATCAGCGAGGCTAGTTCATTTGGAACAGCTAGAATAGCAGACCTGACAGATCAGCATGTGCTTGTTTTCTCATAGCCCAGGTGCTTCAAGTTATTTCTTTGTTTTTCTTTTGGCCACAAGAGATAGAACCAATAAACAAAGTTGTTGTGCACATTTTAATCACAGCAGGTGAATTGTGTGTTTGCTCTGTCTCAGATGTGAAAAAGGGTACATTGGGTCCAGGTGTGAGTATGTTGATTTGGACTGGCGTATAGGAGACCGGAGGCAGATCATCATAGCCTGTGTGATAGCAGCATTGGTCTTCCTCATACTACTCATCATATTCATCTGCATCTGTGCACAGTGAGTACAATACACATTCTTTAAGTAGCAAACAGCCAGATTTACTTTATGTGACAACCTTCCTGTCTGTGTGAGTATGTGTGTGTGCATGAGAGAGCGAAAAAGGTGGACATACAGCTTCATCACCTCACAGCCTGTCAAACTAGCCCTGGGATGGGATGGAAAGAATCTGTGTGTGTCCCATGAATGGAAAAGTTTTAATGAAACGCTTGGGGCCATGTTACCTTTGGTTTTCATCGAGCTGTATGTGTCTGTCCTGCTCTCCCCTCTCATTTTTACCCAAAAGAGAGATAGAGTGCCAAGCGTTGTATTAGTTTAACAAAAGAGTCTTGTGTGCTAAAAAGATACCTTACATAACTAACCTCCGTGATACTGGGAGAATGTTTTGGTGAATAGCTCATGTGAGAGTCAAGACAGATGATACCATTCTCAAATAACAGAATAAGAAGATGATGTCATCACAAATTTGAATGGGTTACTTTCTAATGTTCTTTTTCTGTCTCAGTCGACATAAACTTTGCAGGCGGAAGAGGAGAAGGAAAGAGGAGACGAGGAATGGAACAGAGAAGCTCAATATGATTGTGATGAACACAAATGGAACACATGAAGCTTCATCAGATTCAGTAGAAACTTCAGACATCAATGCAATATGATGCGGTGTGTACTGTATGTCTGAGCTTCCAAGACATCTTGGATGTTTTTCTGACCTTTGATACCCATTTATCATCATTATCCTTAGTTTGTTCTCTTGTTGTGCCAAGACACACAGCATCTCCACCTTTTCTGATTACAGTGGTATTGTAAAAGACAATGGAACAACTAACTAGACCCCTCTTGTTGCTGTTGGAAGGTGATATTCCCCAGTTGGATCAAGCCAAGCATCACGTTATAATTCAGCTCACATCTGAAGGGAGGCCCTGAATGGGAATAAAGCCCTGTGCTTGGCACTGCCTAAGCCCATCCTTGAACACATTGATACATATTAGACAGACAGAGAGGGAGAGAGGGAGAACATTACACAATGTTTCCACACCCTATATAGCCCATTTTGTGTGTGGGCCAGGCCGGTTGCAGGGTGACTTACTGTCTGAATTTGGCTGTAACAGTCAGATCAAAGCAGACGTGCAGCTGGTTCCTCACTATGCCTGCCTGGCTGCCTGCCTCTAAAAAAGGGAATATGAACACAGAAGGAACTAACAAGACATGGGGCGTTATGATGGATGTGGAGCTGTTAAAGTGGTGTTCAGAGGCTGGGTCTGACCAGGAATCTGGGGTCATGCTATCTATCTCCCTTTTAACTGCTTATTCGGTGGTTATACAAAAGCTGCTCTGTAATTGTGTGGTAAAAACAAATGTTACTTCTGTTGCTTTTATCTTCCAGCGACGGGGTCTATAAATGGCATTCTCCTGCCGGACGGGATGATGGCCTTGGATATGAGTGAATGTTGGGAAGAGAGGGTGCTTTAACGTCACTAAGGAGACATCAAGCCTGTACTCTCCAGCTGCTTTTCACTGCCTACCATAGTCTACAATATGGACAATATGGACTCTGTTCTGTGCAGAAATATAGTACAATACAAGAGAGACTGGACCAACTCCTGGGAGCTCATACAACCTTTATGGTCACCATAGATCCATGGAGATGGATCAACAAAACAGTATCTCCCTGTGCATTCTGTAAATGTGATAATATGATGAAGTTGTCCTCATAGACTCATTTATACAAACAAAATGTGCATGGTCATCAAATCACACAATACGTTAAAGTAAAACCTTTTTTTAGATTATGTATTATGGACACTGAGCTCTGAAGGAGTAGGCCTTTTTATGAACTGTCCTGTAACCTACTCTTATTTGGGCATAGATTTAATGATTAACATGTATTCAAGCTAAAAGTCCAGGTATGCTTACTCGTGGATGTGGTGTGTTATAATGGTGACTCATGCCATGTATGTGGGACAGATTATACTATGTCTAATGCTGATAAATGATCAATAGAATACATTTGTTCTATTTTACACATGTATAGTGTGTATTATATACGTGTGAATTGGACATTTGTTTTTTGCATATCCCTCAGAGAGTGGGGTCACGGCCAGAGATCAGCCATTATTGACGGCGGCCCTGGAGTAATTAGGGTTAAGGGCCTTGCTCAAGGGCACATCGACAGATTTCTCACCTAGTTGGCTCTGGGATTTGAACCAGCGACCTTTCGGTTACTGGACCAACACTCTTAACTGCTAGGCTACCTGCCACCCTGAAGTCACCTTATGTAACACACTGTACATTGTGGTCCATTTGACATTCCTTTAACACATGATATTATAATGATGTTAATAATGTTATTATATCACAACAAGCTCTAATAGTTTCCAGTAACTGTTTGATTTATATACATACTGTATATTGTTACATGTAATCAATGCAAAGAGACTCATTCTATGGGCCAGGGTTGATGTTACTGACTTAAGTTGGAGGGTGCCCAAATTTGGGTGAGAAGGCTACAACGTTAACTTGTAGTGAGCATATTTGATCTTTATATTTCGAGACATGTAGCCTCCTTGCTACCAAAACAACCCTGCCTGTGTGTTAATTTGTGCAGCTGTAAAGTAGTCCACTGTTGAAGAAGATTTGGGGGTTTCCCAGCATCCCAGAGTTTCACTGCTTGTATGCAGCCCTTTGCTTCTTTAGCTATGCAAAAGTTAAACATTTTCATTAAAACATTTCATGTTTATTTGTGCAGATATGTTATTTTATCACGTTATTTTGGGACACTTTGACTAATATCATTCTAAGTCACCGTGTGTGAGTTAATGATGATGATTGTTTAATAGTCAAAGGAGCTTTGAACAACAAGCCTGTGACCTAAAGCTGTTTATATACCATTATGTGCCTCAGTAGAGTTTCTTCCTCCTTAACCCTGGTCCTGACACCCCACTGTACTACGGTACCGTCCCTCCAACTTGATTGCACTTTCCTTTGTGTAGTTTCTGTTGTGCAGCTACTATGTCTTTACTCTGCCTGAATGGCCCAGTTCTCACCACCTTTCTACTGTCACTCAGCTGATAATGATATCAGATAAGAACCCTGCTGTGTCTGGAAGGGTTTCTAAGTCCTCTGAAGTTTCGGCCGGCCCAGTCGGCAAGTTCCCTCCCATGCCAACTAAAACTAGGCAGAGCAGAACAAAGTATGCTGCTGGATAGACCTCTGGCTTCACCCTTTCTATAAATAGTTTCCCCTGGCCTAGTGTATGTATGTGATCAAAGAACAATCGGAATCCAACAGCCACATGGGAAGGATCATGTGACTGAGGAATGCTCCATTGCTGGGCTCAGATTACAGCAGAGCCATGTTGTAATTCCATTCAATCCCAACAAATCAATAAAAGGTTTTAAGACTTACTGTAGTGCAGTACCTGAACTGTACAGGATTTGTGGGCATGGAACTCCCATTTATTCATTTATTCATTTCGTTATCACAGATGACAATAATTTGTCATTTGTAAACACAACAAAGTCTCAAACAATACAGAACATACACCTGACAGGATAATTGAAATGTAAAAGCCTTAAGTAGCCTACAGTACTCTTCTTTAATGGACAAACAACCTCTCTACTGGTTTGGTTGTTACGAGCATATGGTGAACTTTAACTCCTGACATTGCGGCATTGTTCAAAGGGTTCTGTTGAATGGCAGGTGTGGAATGTGGGACGCTTTCTATACAATCATGGGTGTGTCTTTGGAAGAAGCAGATAAGAAACTTCACTAATAAATTATATCACATCATCCACCATTAACTGATCTTGGTCAGTGGCCAGGTAGCTACAAACATGTACCCCCCAGGAAAGTTTGAGTTGATAGTATTCACGTTTCTATTAAGTGGTCTTAGCATGATAGTCCAGAGGTGTAATTGTCTCTTCCTCGGCCTGTTACAACACTAACTCATTGGGAAGTGGTTACATATATTGTATATACCATAAGATACCATCTTTCATCTTACACTACTCCATCTATATTCACAACTTTGTAACCCTTTTACATTTCCAGCACTACATACTGCCATCTAGTGTACTAAGTTGACACTGCATCACAAGGTTTTGAAGACATCTGTGGAGAAACAGATATCAGTGTTCCTTACACTTTCTATCTTCCTTCATGTAATTCATGTATACAGTCAGTATTGTTTAATGACTATACACCACAGGAGGTTGGTGGCACCTTAATCGGGGATGATGGGCTCATAGTAATGGCTGGAACAGAATTAATGGAATGGTATCGAACTCATGGAAACAATGTGTTTGATACCATTCTATTCACTCCTTTCCAGCCATTACTATGAGCTGTCCTCCCTTCAGCAGCCGACTGTGCTATACACCCTACAGTCCTCAAACTCAACTCTGGACCTCGAAGCCAGTTCCAATGCATTGTTTCATTGTTCCCATCTAATCAGGGACTGACATAGATCTGGGACACCAGGTGGGTGCGATTAATGATTTGTACATTTACATTTTAGTCATTTAGCAGACACTCTTATCCAGAGTGACTTACAGTAGTGGGTGCATACATTTGAATACTTTTATCGTACTGGTCCCCTGTGGGAATCAAACCCACAACCCTGGCCATGCTCGACCAACTGAGCTACACAGGCCGATCAGGTAGAACAGAAAACCAGCAGGCTCCGGACCTCATAGGGTAGGAGTTGAATACCCCATGCTCTATACCATTACATATACTTGTGATTTATTATTTTAGAGTCTTGTCAGTCAGTAGCAGCAAATAGTAAGCAGACATTTCTTCTCATTGCATGACCGTGCCATGTGATGCCTGGATGTGTGTAATTCCTCTCCTTTTATAAGTCTCAAGTCCAGTGCACCTTCCATCTGTATACAGCAACTTCAAAGGGCTCCATCTGTCACAGAAGACGTGGTAGTCCATGTCTGGCAGATAGAGCTCAGGATGTCCCTTTCATGTGATCACCTGACACCGTCTCTCAGATGGAATGGTATAATTGGCTACTGCTGCTGCCTTAGTATCCAGTGGTTTCACATCCAGCTGTCTGGGGATTAAACCTGATGCTGGTGGAAGCTCAACTCATTTACGTACAAAATCATGAGCAATCCCCATCAAACAATGTGGTTACATTTTAAGAAATGTAGCTAATATGTATAATAATTTATTCTGTTATGACGGTGTAATGGGGAGTTAAATAACTGGCATATGGTTGGTGGTGTTTACCTGTTTCAAGACTCATGTCATTACCAGTTCTACCTGCTCCTCTGTCCTTGTCTTAGGGTTTGATTAATGAATGCACTTTGTGCACCCAAATGCATGTCCCAGGAGTGCCACTTTGCTTTGAAATGGGATTGTGTTGTCTTTACTGTGTTTTATGTCCTTTTAAAGATGCATCCCGGGAGAGGCCTGTTTTATTTCAATGACTTGCACTATCTTGTGACACTATTACACACACTCCATTAGGACACTCTTTTACTCAGGACTCATGAGCAGTGACTGTTTATATGAGTGCCCTCTGATGGCCAGACGTCCCGACTGTAACTTTAAGAAAATCGTTTTGTAAACAAAGAGCAAACTGTATTGGTGTAGTGTAGTCCTCTTATTTTCCACAGGGGCACAGCAAATCATTGCCTCCTATGCAAGATCCTCGGCGTGCCTAACTGTTGGCCAATTATAACAATGTCACAGAAAACAAGCACAATCAATGAAACCACTTGCCAGGATAAAATCAATAGTCTGAGTACATTATGTATTGAACCATGATGCCAGTGGATAAGCCATACTTAAATAGTTTTAGCAGGGGTAGGCCAACTCAAAAACTATACTGAACAAAAATATAGACGCAACATGTAAAGTGTTGATCCCATGTTTCATGAGCTGAAATAAAAGATCCCCAAAATTTTCAAGACGCACAAAAAGCTTATTTCTCTCAAATGTTGTGCACAGATTTGTTTACATCCCTGTTAGAAAATCCTAACCTCCCCTGTTATTGGTAATGGTGAGAGGTTTTCATGTTTTAGTGGCATGATCTTTGTGCATCTGTAACTTTCTCACTCATCATTATTCACGATTCATTCATGATCATCCGTAATCATGGTAGCATCCACATTAATGTAGAAGTGTTCCGAAACATATTCTATTGTTATTTACAATAA